ATAATTGCCGTGTAATTTTTGTATCATTGCCGTGTATATTTTTGTATAATTGCCGTGTAATTTTTGTATCATTGCCGTGTAATTTTTGTATCATTGCCGTGTAATTTTTGTATCATTGCCGTGTACTTTTTGGTATCATTGCCGTGTAATTTTTATATCATTGCCGTGTAATTTTTGTATCCTTGCTGTGTACTTTTTGTATCATTGAAGTGTACTTTTTGTATCATTGACGTGTATATTTTTGTATCATTGCCGTGTATATTTTTGTATCATTAACGTGTAATTTTTGTATCCTTGCTGTGTACTTTTTGTATCATTGCAGTGTACTTTTTGTATCATTGACGTATATATTTTTGTATCATTGCCGTGTATATTTTTGTATCATTAACGTGTAATTTTTGTATCATTGCCGTGTAATTTTTGTATCATTGACGTATATATTTTTGTATCATTGCCGTGTACTATTTATATCATTGCCGTGTATATTTTTGTTGAACCTATAGTTTTGCAATGCACCGTAATCCCCACACTTCAAAATAAAGTAAATTGCATGTAATATTGAAATCTTAAACATTTTTAATTATAAAGTTTTGAATTTCAAAAATGTAACCGGAAACATTAGCGGTTTTCTTTCTTGTGCGTAAAATCAAAACATGGAGAGATACAAGGTCACAAAGTTGTACCAGTGACGTGGCATACAGTTGACCTGTCTTGTTTTCAGTGCTCTAAGAGCAAATAAAAAATCTAACGAATATCAAACTGCAGGATTGAAAATAGGGGGGAGAGGGGGTTCATCTCAATCTAAACAATTTTTAAACGTTTAAATTCATTATTTAGAAATTTTAAACATTTATATATTCCCGGAAATTTTGATGTCAATCTAAATGCCATGGTACAATACAGAGCAGAACATATATTTGATATAGAACAAGGGTGTAATGCAAGGAAAGTCAATTGCGGTTGTGTATACTCTGTGTCTGTGTACACATTGAAACCAGTTCTCTCTGGGCGGAATTTGTAAACAATAATAGATGCATCAGTGTTCGTTCAGTATCCGAGGATGGGGGTACAATGGAGAAATTACTTCCTCCTTAGTACTGTCTGTGAAAACATTGATCCAACTTGTATGTTTATTGGGTCTCATTGTTAAATAATTAAAAAATGCATTTATGTTATAAATTCCTATGACCAGAATATTTCATTGATTTTTTATTTGAAAGATGGATCCCATGTTCTTATATATGTATATTGGATAACTTCGGGATAAAGCATTAATCTCTATCTTATTTAGACCTGGAGGGATAACTTCGGGATAAAGCATTAATCTCTATCTTATTTAGACCTGAGCTGAAAACTTTTGAATGGGATATCCTTAATCCTGATCGGATAATTAATCTGGAGATTAAAAATGAGAGGAGAACAAGCAATATTTAATCTGGAGATTCAGAAAAAGAGTGGATTAAGCATTAATCCCGATATCCACCATTCTAAAGTTTTCAGCTCAGGAGGGATAACTTCGGGATCTAACATTAATCTCTATCTTATTTAGACCTGGAGGGATAAATTTGGGATAAAGCATTATTCTCTATCTTATTCAGACCTGGAGGGATAACTTCGGGATCTAACATTAATCTCTATCTTATTCGGACCTGGAGGGATAAATTCGGGATTAAACATTAATCTCTATCTTATTCAGACCTGGAGGGATAACTTCGGGATCTAACATTAATCTCTATCTTATTTAGACCTGGAAGGGATAACTTCGGGATCTAACATTAATCTCTATCTTATTTAGACCTGGAGGGATAACTTCGGGATCTAACATTAATCTCTATCTTATTTAGACCTGGAGGGATAACTTCGGGATTAAACATTAATCTCTATCTTATTCAGACCTGTAGGGATAACTTCGGGGATTAAACATTAATCTCTATCTTATTTAGACCTGGAGGGATAATTTCGGGATTAAACATTAATCTCTATCTTATTCAGACCTGCAGGGATAACTTCGGGATTAAACATTAATCTCTATCTTATTCAGACCAGAGCTGGGAACTTTAGAATGGTGGATATCGGGATTAATGCTTGATCCACTCTTTTTCTTAATCTCCAGATTAAATACTGCTTGTTCTCCTCATGAATTTAATCTCCAGAGATGAAAATTTTAGAATGGGATATCCTTAATCCCGATCGGTTAATTAGTCTGGAGATTTACAACAAGAGGAGAACAAGCATTATTTAATCTGGAGATTAAGAAAAAAAGGAGATCAATCATTAATCGCGATATCCACCATTCTAAAGTTTTCAGCTCAGATTAATTAACAGATCAGGATTAAGGATATCAAATTTAAAGTTTTCAGCTCTGGAGGAATAACTTCGGGATTAAACATTAATCTCTATCTTATTCAAATCTGCAGGGATAACTTCGGGATTTAACATTTTTCTCTATCTTATTCAGACCTGAGCTTTAAACTTTAGAATTTGATGTCCTTAATCCCGATCGGTTATTTAATAAGAAAAAGAGGAGATCAAGCATTGATTTTGATATCCAACATTCTAAAGTTTTTAGCTCTTGAGGGATAACTTTAACAAGAATTTATATCCTCATTGTTAAAATATCGGTTTAAATATGAAAACTATGCGAAACCAAGCAATTAATCGTATTGAAAGTATTTATGTTGACATTCTCAAAATGTGCTCATTACAGTATTTACCATCAAGCTCTCTTCTTAAAATGTGGAATGGCCTGCCTCTTGACTTAAAAAGAAGCAACTCTCTAAGTATATTTTTATTTTAGCAATAAACTTTATCTTATCTTATCTTATCTTATGTTTTATAATTGCTAAATAATGATGATCTATTATTAAGCTTTAAACTTACAAACAAAATAACATAAAATCTTGATACATTGTATAGTTTAGTCAGAAAATCAAATTTAAATCTAATCAATATTTCAATTTGATTTGGATTTTTAATAAATTTTTATTGATTAGATTTTGATTAAATTCAGCTGTTAATTATATCTAATCCTCCTAAAGATTTGATATGATCTTAACAAATAGTATAGTTCTATACTCCAAACAGATTATTAACACGTCTAATAAAAACATTGTAAAATCGCATTCTTGAAAATATGACATAAAAAAGAGAAATATTCGCTATTTTCATGAATTAATGTGGTTTTGAGAAATATCTTAAAATTTTACGTTGTCAGAAAGTTCTGAGCATTTCCTTTCATTTAATCATAAAAACATGTAATTCTAGGATTTACTTTTTATCCAGCTAAAGATACATCCTCTCACAATATTAGAAAAAATATTAACATTTGATTAGAAATTTCTCACAGAATGTTAGATAAACACTTTGTGACGTTGTTCATAATGTTCGATATTACTGTCAGTGAACACTGTACAATGTATGACTTATATGACAATGTATAAAGGTAAATTAGTTTATAAATGAAGCAATACTAGAAAATATGTAAAAAACGATATTCAGTCTCGAATGTCGTCTTCTTTTCTAAGAGTTAAAAAACATGACTAAATTACCTTCTATTCTTTGCACATGCAACAATTATGTCAAAATTAATCGTTTATAATGTTTACGAATCTTTTTAATATAATTAGATATTTTAGAATTTGATGTTTAAGACCGAAACCCAATACCAGGGCATTATCACACCATTATAACACGACACATTATAACCGGTTCTTGAAATACAGCACTTATTTATAGGTTTTCTTCCTTCCCTCTTTAATTTTTCGAAAACAATCCCTTTAAATTCGAAACTAGAAACTCAGATGTTTAGTATCCTTGATCTTGGAAAAGATATTTCCTTTAAATCCGTTGAAGTCAGAAACAGAAATATGGAGTCTTGAGAAAACCTAGATAAAGATAGATTGTCCATGGAACATTTACCCAACTATAATAAGAGGTTCTTTTCATAGATAATCTTGAAAATCTGATTACAAACAAGTCTGTAGACCTTATGCAAAATAGTGCGAAGGAAGATTATCTTTATTTTTACCAAATTTACTCACTCCAGTTGTTTACGTTAGGAGCCTTTAAAATTGTAATTTTTATATCTACAAGCCTGAAATTGAGCTCATTAAATCAAACATTGTACGTAGCTTTTAAAAATGGTCTCAATTTCATAAAAGTCTACAGATGCTTATTCTCCATTTGTTTTGAGACACCCTGTATATTGTTAGATCTTCATATAAATTTTAAGCAATTATTCCATTTACTAATACTGCACACAAACTATAACACCACTTTTTACAATTACATAATGCAGTATTTTTGATTATTATTAAAGTATAAATAAAAATATTCTCGATCTGGTTTTCATTTTCATAGTTAAATATTGACAAACACTTTATTTCCCTTATTTCCCTTACCCCTATATAGGATTTCCCTTATTCCTATAGGATTTCCCTTATCCCTATATAGGATTTCCCTTATCCCTATAGGGTTTCCCTTATCCCTATATAGGATTTCCCTTATCCCTATATAGGATTTCCCTTATTCCTAGAGGATTTCCCTTATCCCTATATAGGATTTCCCTTATCCCTATATAGGATTTCCCTTAGCCCTATAGGATTTCCAAATTGCAATCGGCCTTCAAAGCGCCCCGAAAGCCTGAATTCAAAATATTGTTTTTTTTTATTAAACAAAACCAAAAAATTTAAGTTTCCCATTTTTGTTTGTTATGAACAAAGACGTTTGGACACGCTATGTACAGCTCAGATGTCGAAAAATGTTCTAATGTAAATCTACAAAAAATTAAATCAAACCCCGGAAATCTTGTTTTTTCCCTTGATAATTTCTTTTCAAAAATCTAATAGAAAAGGAAGTAAGATCTTTCTTACTTTTATTCCAGCATTTCATGTGAAACTCGCAAGGATAAGATTATAAAGACGACCTAAAACTTTTAAACTATCACATCCCTCATTTTAGTCTTCTATCTTAAATATATCTTGAAAAAGAAAGAAACAAGTTTAAAGTTGCGCTGAAAAAACATGAATATAAAGAAATATTCCGGACAGTCGTCTCTGAAGTCTCATCCTTTTTGAGTAACCCTGAAAGATAGCATTAGAAAGCATGAACAAAAAATATTTTACAAATATCATTGGGCACTTTATCCGGGTAACGCTGTATGTCTACTGTCAAACCAAATTTAATCTATTAATGCTATTTACTTATTTATAAGATGAATCAACTTAAAAATAACATCTTGAAGAATAGAAAAGTATGGATTAAATTTTATCGACAAACTTGGGTTTCCAGGACCAATCATTATAATGGAGAATGTTTAACAAAAGGGTTAGAAACAAACTTCTTAAAAGGACTGTAAAGGAAAATTGAAAGGGGGTAAATGATGAAACCTGAGAATCTCAGGAGTTAACCGATACATATAAAACATCTATCTGATGTTCCTGTCTCAAGAAATTGATATATAACTGTCTTTTGTCATTCTTTTTAAGGAATCCAATATTATAAAATTAAACTAGCTGTAGTGCTCGGCGTTGCCCGTGGAAAAAAATGTTTAAAAAACAAAGTTTGAAAAAAATTGAAAAAATCGAATATTATTTAGCCTATGTCACCCCAAGGCTACTCATGAGTGTCCACAAAAAAAGTCAGCCCATTCGGTCCAGCCTTTTGGCCGGCTATTGGGAAAATATATACGAATGTCTTGTTTTATTATATAGGTAATGTCTGAAAAGTTTAGTATGAAATATTTATCCATACCATACCATATAACATAAAATGTTTAATACGCATATTTGATACTCTGTCTTTATAATTAGGTCAAAACAAGTTGTCTAAACTTGATTATTTAATAAAACTAAAAGTTAAAAATCAAGACTTCAGCCACTTCAAGCTTCAACTGATCTACAACCACTAGATTGAAGGATCAGTTGTCTTCCAATAGAAGAAGTTGCATTATTCTAAAATATCATTGTTTAATGATATTGAACTTAAAATAATGTCATAAAAATAGAATATAAAATCAATATTTCACCCAAAAGTATGAATATTTACCTCAGTTAGTAGCGGAGAGGAAGTTCTACTGAACTTCACATCATCCGGCAGCCATTGAACTCCAAGAGTAGGTTTAAATAGCAGGGCTGTTATCAATGCTTCATTCTTCTTTTCCGTCATAGCAGCATTAAACAGACATTCTCGTGGTGGTTGGAACAACTTCAGCATACTCTCAGAGGTAGACAGATTCGGCATTTTCGGCTTTTCTTCAAGTTGAGAGTGAACCTTCTCCTTCAAAGGTTGAAGTAAAAATGAGCATTTTCTTGGATTTGCCCGGATTTTCCCGGATTTCTCCCCGATTTTTCCCGCATTTCTTAAAAAAAAGTTTACTATGGACCAAATACGTTTATCGTTAAATCTGTTATATAGCTCTTTTAACAGCATTTAAAAAAATTATTTTTTAGGAAATGCATTAAATAATCAAAGCATTTATCGTTAACCAACTTTTCTACTTTTATTTGTCCATTTACGACGACAATTGTAATATAAATTGTGAAAACTCTTTGATTTGATAAACAAGATATATTTAAAAAATATTACAAATATAATATATACCCAGCTAACATTCGATCTCCGCCGTATTTTGGTCTCCGCCATGTGGTATGTGCGATAGCGGAGAGGTTTCTATACCTCCATAGTATGTACTCCATGTCACCTCCATAGTAAGTGCTATGGCGAAGAAATTACATAGTATATACTCCAGATTTCCGCTATACCTCCTCTTTCGTAGGTGCGATGGCGACGTAATTATGTACCACCATAGTATATACTCTATATATATCTCCGCCGTAGATACTCTGTCGAAGGTGCGAGGGCGGAGTAATTAAGTACCTCCATAGTATATACTCCATATTTCTAATATATCTCCTTTGTCGTAGGTGCGATGGCGAAGTAATTAAGTACCACCATAGTATATACTCCATATATCTCCGCCATAGATACTCTGTCGAAGGTGCGAGGGCGGAGTTATTACGTACCTCCATAGTATATACTCCATATTTCTTAAATATCTCCTCTGTCGTAGGTGCGAGGGCGGAGCAATTATGCACCTCCATAGTATATACTCCATATATCCCCGCTGTAGTTCCTTTGTCGTAGGTGCGACGGTGAAGTGATCTATATACCGCCGTAGTATATAATCCATGTTTTCGCTGTCGTATATACTAAAGAGGAGATCAAAGTAACTAAATCAAACATTTGAACCGTTAATTTTTTATCAACCCGCGCAGCAGCAGTACACTCATGAGATTCAGTTACTCTAAAACTCTTCAACATTAAACACCCATGTGAATCTATCCCGTGTTATGTTAATCCAACCAAGAAGCTTGTTGTTAATCCAACCTTTTATACCGCCAGGACCTACATCGGACATGATGATCGGAGCTCCGCCCAACTCTGGCGAAGCCTGTCGTATATACGAGGCGGTATAACCGAAATCGGAATTATTTTGCTAGCTGGGTATGAAATATGTTCGTAAACATTCTTGAAATATATTCCTAGGAGAATATTATTCTACCGCACAGATAGAATGTTTTTTTTCTTGTCAATGTACTAGGTATGTATGTTAATTTCACTATATTAAAAGGGAAATATCTTACTTTTTACAATTTTATTCTTAATAATCTTGATCTTTTAACATTTTATTCCCCCCCGGAAGAGCTTTATACTTAATTTGACATATAGTGGAAGTACGCTACTGCATTAAAAAACTCGATTTTTGGGTAAAATTTATTTATGTTACTTTTTTTAAGTTGATTGAGTAAGATTATTTGTGCGAAGCGCCAAAATTTTTTTTACATTTTTCCTTTTAATGGTAATCATGGACATGGAGAATGGAGATCAAGTTACTAAACTGGGATGTTTGAGTCCCAAAGATTCTAGGGGGTGGGGGTATTTACCCCTAAGATTCTAGGGGGGGGGGGGAATTACCCCAAGGATTTTAGGGGGGGGTAAGTAAACCCAATAACCCCCCTTATTTACGCTACTGGGTTTCAAATTCGAATGACGACTTTTACAATATAAACGGAACTTTTCTTGTGCAAATTTTTCAAACGATGACGGGAATTAAGAATGGACATTGTTATTATTACGCGTAAATTGAAGGTTACAAAAATGCGTCAAAGAAAGGAAACAGCCAAACTCTGTTACTCGTGAATGCCGCAATGATCTAAAAGACAGAGAGCAACCCAGTTCTAGCCGCGTCGCTCGGCCCCTATCTTGTCCTGTTTGCAGCGCGCGGCCCAGTAAGTTGCTAACCCTAAAATATATATATTAAGATCGATCTTCTTTTAATTCATTGCGGCATTTGCGAGTATCAAAGTTTGGCCGCTACCTCAAAACAACGAGCCTGAAATAGTAAATATCACGCAACCTCGGCATGCGCAGTAAATCAGCTGATATTGTTTTGCTGGAAGGAAAGACTGACAAAGGAAGGAATTACGCTGCTAAAAAAATCAAAGCTTGTGATATACAAGATATACAAGATATACAATCGTATTTAATGTTTTTTAATTTTTGGAATTTATAAAGTGATGTTATCTCAGCCAGGAGTCTTACTTTCATAGAATATGAAATCACGGACTAAAGAAAGTTTAAAAGACTTGGTTGGAATTATTTAAAAACATAAAAAAGAAGTTTCAAAATGGCCTGGTCTTCGTGGTACAATAGCTTCTCAGATGCATTTAAAAAACGTGCAGGTAACATTAGTTAAACTCATTAATTGTATTTTTGGGTCTGTCCTTTCCAAAAATCGTTCTCTAGGAATATACCGTATTTTTTAACTATAGGTTGTCCCACATCATATTAGACCGATTTTAGCTCTAAATTTAGATTTAAAGGAATATAATCAGAATTTTTTTTTAAATAAATTATTTTTAATATAATGTGTGAGGTAACATAAAATGTTTTTGCAGAAGATACCAGCCTTTCGAGAATTATGTGCATATTTTGGCATTGAAGCTTTGAGATATCCAATATGATATGGGCCGCTCTTTAGACTGTATATTAATTAAAACGTCTCGTAAATTAGCAATGCGTCTTTTCGTCCAACTCATAAGTTTGAAGATCTATATGCATCCTGATAAATTTAATTTATATTTAGGTCGGTATCTGATAAACCGATACCTCGGAACCTTTCTGGACGAGACTATTTCTATGGATCAGCTCTCTGTGGATGGGGCTATCAGGGACATAAACCATTTCATTATCCCTATCATGGAGTACATTATTTCCTTTCTTATCACGACTCAATCAATCTCTTAAAATTAAATTATAATATCTAAATTTCAAGCAAATATTATTTCAATACCTTATATTTTTCATATTACTTCTCTTATTCAAGAGCAATACCTTATATTTTTCATTAAAATTTAATTATCTTGACTAATTATAGATATTTTTCTATTTGATTTAACAAATCTTAATCCAACCAAAACGTGCCGTTATTTTTGACGATCACTACCTACTATCCTAGTCAGGGGCATTTACAAAACAATTCTAGGGGGGGTCGGGGGCTTAAATTTTGCCACATCTGGAAATCATTGTCTGCCAAATCCCTCCTGTAAAGCTTCTCACGACGGTACAATTTTTATTTATTTTGTTATTTTAAAAATAAAACATTATTTCCTTTTGATTATGAGTGAAAATGGTTGGTTTAGTTTAAGTAATGTGGCGCTCAATATTAGGACAATCAATTCTATGATAGGTAATATTTTTTTTGTCTTTTTGTTTCTTTGTCTGTTTGTATCCAATAAACGCCCTAACGGCTCAGCTGACCCGAACCAAGTTTTTGTTGAACCTCATATGAACCCAAAAAAGGTTTATGCATGCTCAGAATTACAAAAAGTTGTCTCAAAAAAATTTAATTTCTTAATTTTTGGAAATCCACAAAATAAATGTAAATCCTTTATAAACCTGTGTTATCGTTTTATCGATGAGAAATGCTGACAGATTTAGCAACAATTAAAAGTCGTACAAGAAAATGGGCGCGAAGCGTAATATTTCCAAATAATTTCATTACAAAATAAATTAATTAGTTTTTTTTCTTGTTTTCTTCTTAAGTTTTGTTTTAGACGATGCAGATCTTCCAGTTGAATTTGTGGATGGATATATACAGGTTTATAACAACATTTTATTATGTATAAATATATTCTCTGGAGGACCTATCTTTAACTATACATACTCCAGAACCTATCTTTATCTATATATACTCCAGGACCTATCTTTAACTATGTACTCCAGGACCTATCTTTAACTATATATACTCTAGGACCTATCTTTAACTATATATACTCCAGGACCTATCTGTAACTAAATATACTCCAGAACCTATCTTTATATATACTCCAGGACATATTTGTAACTATATATACTCCAGGGTCTATCTGTAACTATATATATATAGTTCAGGATCTATCTGTAACTATTTATACTCCATGACCTATCTCTAACTATATATATACTCCGTGACCTATCTCTAACTATATATATATTGCATATATAGGTAACTATACATGCATCATATAGTTGTGAGACTCATATTTTTGGTGCCCTAAAAAGGTTAACTTCAGGGTCCCCCTGAGTTATTTTTAGGCATTTCTGATACTGTTTTTTAAATTGTATTTTTTTTGTTATTTCCCTTCCTTCTTTCCCCTTTTCCCTTCCCTTCCCCCTTTGGCCTTTATTCTTTCCCCTTTTCCCTTCCCTTCCCCCTTTGGCCTTTCTTCTTTCCCCTTTCTCTTCCCTTTTGCCCCTTTTCCCTTCCCTCGTTTCCTTTTTCTTTTCCCTTTTACTCATTTTCCCTTTTCTCTTCCCATTTTTCCCTTCTCTCTTCCCCCTTTTCTCTTCCCTTCCCCCTTTGACCTTCCTTCTTGCCCCTTTTCTCTTTCCTTTTGCCCCTTTTCCCTTCCCTATATATACTCCAGGATCTATCTGTAACTATACCTTGGTCTAATCTACTAACGGAGAGCTGTTTCTTCTCTATAGATGGACTAACCATTACTCTACAGGTAAGTGTGTGCCCAGGCTTAAAGGGACAGTTGACCTACTTTCATGTGACTCCTTAATTAAAGGGTTGTAAGAGATAGATATCGTGTTTCTATCTGGAAAAAGTGTTGAATTCTTAGTTCTCTCTTGTTTTGTAAATTCGTATGTTTTTTTTTATAGATTACCACATTTGAAAATAATCTTAAGAACAAAACACAGGGAAAACTTCTATGATTTTTGAAAGGCACAGTTTTGTATTGGTCATGACCATCTCTACATGGGAGGTCACTTTAAACTTGTGAACAGTCCCTTACGCGCAGTTTGTTAACGTCACATAATCTTATTTTTCCTTTAGGTTTGACTGAAATATTATAACTTACTGTCTCTACTTTAACTCAAATCCTTAACGTTTGATTAGAAATTGATTTTCAGAGCTAAAAACTATAGAATTGTGGATATCGAGATCAATGCTCAATCTTCTCTTTTTGTTAATTTTAAGATTAACTAAATCTTAAGCTTGTTTCATCAACCAATCGAGTGTGGTTAGATAAAACTAGAACAGCCAATCAGAGAAGCCGGTAAAATTGAAATTTCCGCGTCATTTAATGAGTGAACTCTCATTCTGTTGTAATTGTAAACTGGCAGCGAGAAAAAAAAGAAAGTAAAAGAGCGGTTTACAAGTGTCCATATTGGATAATTATCAATCAAGATTATGAGTATCCCTTCAACTCAAAAGTTCCCAGCTCTGATCTCTTTATATAAAAGCCCAGATAATGAGGATTTTGTAATAGTTTCGCCTTTTACAAGTTTACACCTCCAATTGTATGATCCTCTATTCTCTGTACGAATGGTTTGGGTTTTAGGACAACAGTGTTTAGGAAACTTCTTGAGACTTGCTTATGAATAATTAATACTTCAAATAGTCATTGTTTACTTTGAATTATGGTTTGTACCGGGCCTGGCGCCTGGATTTACATAATTAAACAGAAACTGCAGTTCTAGGAGGAGGAAGTCCAAATCAAATTTAAAAGTTAAATATTAATTGTTGTTTACCGATGCCTCCTTCTCTCTTTAAAATAAACAACTGGTTAATAGAGTAGTAAAATAAACAATTTTTAGATTAATTAATTGATTTATCAGTTTAATAATTATCGATTGGTTGATTTAGTTGGTTATTAATTGATTGATAAGTGGATTGATCAATTCATTGATTGATCTAAACTTGAACTGTTTAGGTGAAGAAGAGAGCGAACCCTGCTCAGATCTCAGCATCAATATTCATGTCAATGTGTGAGAGCTTTTCTTCCTTCAGTGTTGCTGAGGATTGTATTAAACAAGGGGATGTAAGTATATTTTGTTTAAATAGTAAAAAACTTTTTTTTCATCCATCGAAAACTTAGTATTGTCATGTCTGAATTTAAGTTTTAAAATAGGACTTCCCTAAAATTCTGATTTTGTTTCGTTTCGTGTTTTCTTTAAAGTGGCTTTGTTATTGGTTCTTTTTGGTAAAAATTTTATTTGATTGTTTTAATCCAAATAAAAACTCTTGGAAGCTGTATTGCAATCCAGGTTGAGTCGAGTCCTGGAAAAAGTAGGAAAAGTCAATCTGAAGAAGATATGGTGGCTGGGGTCGAACTTCTAGCGCAGGCTATAGATTCTGTCATCATGAGAGTTCAGGTATATTCAGGGTGTATGTTTTGTTGCAGCATTTAAAGGGACTGGTGTTGTAATTCTAGGAGACCTTAGTAAAAAAAAATAACAAAATGTCCGATTTAGAAAGGTACCCTTTTATATTAATTATATAGAAGACATTGTTGTTTTTCTAGCTAGTGTTTTATTCTGACAATAAACTCCATTGTTTATTTAAGCATAAATACGCAATCCACTTAAATTGAGAAACCACAATTGAAATGATCAAATTTAAAATGGGAACGGATAGTTCATGTATTTTTAATCAGACCAATCTTTAATGGGTACTCTTCTGAATCGGACATTACAATCTGTATACAGAGGGTCACTTGAAATTATGTAAACTTTAAAGAAACTGTAGTTCCGTAAAGAAACTGTAGTTCCGTAAAGAAACTGTAGTTCCGTAAAGAAGCTGAAGTTCCGAAAAAAATTGTAATACCGTAAAGAAACTGTAGTTCCGTAAAGAAACTGCAGTTCCGTAAAGAATCTGTAGTTCCGTAAAGAAACTGCAGTTCCGTATACAAACTGTAGTTCCGTAAAGAAACTGTAGTTCCGTAAAGAAGCTGAAGTTCCGTAAAAATTCCATTACCGTAAAGAGACTTTAGTTCCATAAAGAAACTGTAGTTCCGTAAAGAAAACGTAGTTGCGTAAAGAAAACGTAGTTCCGTAAAGAAACTATAGTTCCGTAAAGAAACTGTAGTTCCGTAAAGAAACTGTAGTTCCGTAAAGAAACTGTAGTTCCGTAAAGAAACTGTAGTTCCGTAAAGAAACTGTAGTTCCGTAAAGAATCGGTAGTTCCGTAAAGAATTGGTAGTTCCGTAAAGAAACCTGTATTTTCGTAAAGAATCAGTAGTTCCGTAAAGAAAGTGTCACTCAACGTAAACCGTAAACATCTTACTTTAACAACAACAAAAATCCTTGGACGATGGTTTGGTTTCCAGGAGGAAGACACATTCTCGACCTCGACCCTGAGCAAGATATACTTCGAGGACGTTGTCCTCTACACTGACGAGTTCAAGCTTGGGTCAAGAAACCTCTTAAAAAGTCAAAACTTTGAAGAGTCTGTTTACGAAGAGGTAAATTCTTAACACTAAAAGATTATTGTTGAGAACGGTAGAATTTAATACCTGGTTCAGGGGGTTTATATAAGGACTTTTTGTCCGATGTAAGACTTCACTTTGTGGAAATTAAATGGACTAAGATAACATTTGTGGTAGAGTTTATGGACTTACGTGTGCAACATAACATCCCAATGGTTAAATGCGACGTAATAAATCTTTTATAATTCATGATTATGATTCATTGTGTATTGCGCTAAGTCATTTATTTCATTTTCTTTATTTTATAATTTGATTTTTTTCAAAGCACATGTTTGTGTTAAATCTTTTCGTAACGAGAATCTTGGATTTGATTTTAAATATACATATTTTGTTTCAAAAAAATTTAATTCCAGGATACTGAACCTGATCCTCCACTCCAGCTCGCTAGCTTGACAGGCAACCAGGAGCTTATTCTCAGGTTCGGTTTTATCAGAAATCAAATCCCCCCCCTTCTCTGACACACTCCTGTTTTTAGTATGTTAAGGGGAGGACATAAAGTCTTAGATATTTTCTTTGAATTTGGGAAAATAAATTTATCTATCTTCTGTAAAGGGAAAAATCTAAGACAAATGATAATGAGAATATTATTAAGGTTTACTGAGTTGAATCAGTATGGATTACCCCGAGCAGTTGGAGAAGTTGAGATGAGTCTTGGAACTTTTAAACTTCATGTCTTCCCACACCAGGTGGGAAAAAAATAAATTTAGTTTTTAATGCTCTTTTCCGACTTGGACACCAGGTCGTTATCTACAAGGTGGTGCCTACATAGGGCCCTGAAGGTAGTCTTGGGGTTCCACTTTGTGTTCCCTTTCAGATTTAAACTTGATTTGACTTGACTTGACTTGACTTGACTTGACTTGACTTGACTTGACTTGACTTGACTTGACTTGACTTGACTTGACTTGACTTGACTTGACTTGACTTGTTTGGGACTAATGCACAGTTCGCATTTATGTGGAAGATATCGTCGTTTTTATAGTATTTAATTCTGACAATATCTTATCATAGTGCCTTGTGCAGAAATGCGCAAGTTACTTTTAAGAGATTCCTGAATTGAAATTTATCATTTTTTTCATGAGATTATGATTATCATCTCAACGATTTTTAGGATACCGTTGTGAATCGGTCATGTCACACTGTAAGAAATTACGTCTACAGTCCCTTCCCCAGTCCCAAACCTCCTCCCTCTCTGTTTTTAGTTTTATTCAAAGTTAATTTTCTTTAAATCATGAAATGAAATTTTCTTCTAATTTCTATCACTTCGTCCAAAAAAGTGACATTTTCAATAATTATAATAATTCCTGTTAAGGTTCACATAATAACCGAGATAATCTCTGCAATAACTGTTCCTGTGAAGCCTGGTCCTGCTCCAGTACTCTCTAAACACCAGAAGCAGCTGGTCCAAGGACTAGAAGGAATGCTCCAGGAGAATCTCAGGTACAACGTTATTTCTCTGCTAACCTAACTCAGAATAAGAAAATAGGAAAATTTTACTCAAGGTAGTTTTATCATTATGGGATATAAAGTAAATATATATTTTAATTTTTAAAAAATTTCTTCTATTCTATAAACGATCTAAAGAATAAAATAAATAAATTTTTGGTATCGGAAGTATCAAAAACGGAGAAAAAAGTTCCAAGTAGGTGTGTATATTTTTTTTAATTCAATGATCCATCATTATCAATAACATCATCACAATCATTACCATTGGCATAATCATTATTATTATTATCCTTATCATCATCATCATCAATATCTTCATTATCATTAAATAAATCAACATCATTATATTCAACCATATTATAACCAATGCATATATATATATTCCGCCAACATGGTTAATTAGGCGTGAAACAACTTTGTGACTGGCGATAAAGTTTTCCAATATAAGAAAAGAAGAACCAAGAAGGAAAAGAGAGAAATATGGTTCTTTTAAGTTTCAGTTCTGCAAATTCTGATATTATACATTTAACTAGATTTAAACCTCCAGTAGCAGGTTTAAACTCTAATATTATATATTTGACTAGATTTAAAGTTCCAGTAGCAGGTTTAAACTCTAATATTATATATTTGACTAGATTTAAACCTCCAATAGCAGGTTTAGACTCTAATATTATATATTTGACTAGATTCAAACCTCCAGTGGCAGGTTTAAACTCTAATATTATATATTTAATTAGATTTAAACCTCCAGTTGCAGGGTTAAACTCTAATATTATTTATTTAACTAGATTTAAACCTCCAATAGCAGGTTTAAATTCTAATATTATACATTTGACTAGATTTAAACCTCCAGTAGCAGGTTTAAATTTTAATATTATGTATTTAACTAGATTTAAACCTCCAGTAGCAGGTTTAAATTCGAATATTTTATATTTACCTAGATTTAAACCTCCAGTAGCATGTTCAAATTCTAATATTATATATTTAACTAGATTTAAACCTCCAGTAGCAGGTTTAAATTCGAATATTTTATATTTACCTAGATTTAAACCTCCAGTAGCATGTTCAAATTCTAATATTATATATTTAACTAGATGTAAATCTCCAGTAGCAGGTTTAAATTCTAATATTTTATATTTAACTAGATTTAACCTCCGGAAGCAGGCTTAGATCCTAATATTATATATTTAACTAGATTAAAACCTCCAGTAGCAGGTTTAATTTCTAATATTTTATATTTAACTAGATTTTAACCTCCAGTAGCAGGTTTAATTTCTAATATTTTATATTTAACCTGATTTAAACCTCCAGTAGCAGGTTTAATTTCTAATATTTTATATTTAACTAGATTTAAACCTCCAGTAGCAGGTTTAATTTCTAATCTATATATAAATTTGGCTTGTCTGTTTGTCTGTTTGTCTGTCTGTTTGTCTGTTTGTCTGTCTGTTTGTCTGTTTGTATCCAATAAACGTCAAAACGGCTGAACCGATCGGGCCCAAATTTTTTGTGGGACATCTAGGGACCCCAGGGAAGGTTTATGTGTAGCAGGTTTAAACTCTAATATTATATATTAACTAGATTTAAACCTCCATTAGCAGGTTTAAACTCTAATATTATATATTTAACTAGATTTAAACCTCCAGTAGCAGGTTTAAACTCTAATATTATATTTTAACTAGATTTAAACCTCCAGTAGCAGGTTTAAACTCTAATATTATATATTTAACTAGATTTAAACCTCCAGTAGCAGGTTTAAACTCTAATATTATATATTTTACTAGATTTAAACCTCCAGTAGCAGGTTAAAACTCTAATATTATATATTTAACTAGATTTAAACCTCAGGTAACAGGTTTAAACTCTAATAATATGTATTTAACTAGATTTAAACCTCCAGTAGCAGGTCTAAACCTGGGTTGGGGAGGAGATATGGATGCAAGTAGAGAGTTTAAACCTCTTCAGAAACCTTCAGAGTAAGTTATATTCTAATATTTTGAATTTTTTAAGAAACTTGATTAATCAAAATGATATGTTCCCCTTATTAATGTATTGTTTTCAAGCTAAGTTTCAACTTTCATCCAGGATAATCCATTTGGAGGAGGAAAATCTTTAAATTAATTCTTATCTTATACATATTATCTTTTGATAAAATAGATATATCTTTTTAATCTCATTAACTTTTGAAAGATACAATTCAAAGTGTTCTAAGCAATCAATTTTCCAAAAAAAGAAACGATACAAATCACGTACTCTACCTCTAAAAATGTATCAATAATAATACAAATCATGTCCTCTAACTCTAAAATGTTACCAATAATGATACAAATCATGTCCTCTAACTCTACAAATTTACCAACAATGATACAAATCATGTCCTCTAACTCTAAAAATTAACCAATAATGATACAAATCATGTCCTCTAACTCTAAAAATTTACCAATAATGATACAAATCATGTCCTCTAACTCTAAAAATTTACTAATAATGATACAAATCATGTCCTCAAACTCTAAAAATCTACCAATAATGATACAAATCATGTCCTGTAACTCTAAAAATTTACCAATAATGATACAATCATGTCCTCTAACTCTAAAAATTTACCAATAATTATACAAATCATGTCCTCGTAACTCTTAAAATTTACCTATAATGATACAAATTTTGTCCTCCAAATCTCACTCGGTGCATTGGGGGGTGTTTTAGCCGATAAAGAACCAAATAATAACTTTTATGGGGACAGGTATGAACTTTAGTCAACGTCATTGAGAAAATCCAAAAATTTTATTTCTTGAAATCATCTGAGTTTGAATATTTTTTGAATATCGTATTCTATCAGGAGAAGGATCCTGGTATTCTCAAGTTTGGCGGAGAAGGTACTAAACCTCGTGCTCTAGATCTAATGCGGAAATCATCTAACAGGTTCTTCAACACTCAGGAATAGAAAATAATCATTTGAATTTATTAAAACGAACATATTTAGTTTACAATTTGCAATGAAAAAAAAACGCATGTTGGGTATTTTGTTTATCATTAGCAACGCATTCACTCTGGTCTGGAATTTTCAATTTGACATCAACATTTTCACCTTTTTTATGAACAGTCACAGCCGAAGAAGAATTCTGGGTTATTTCTTGTCAATTAAATTGAAATTCCCCCGCCCCCTCCACACCCCTCTATCTGAAAAAGAGCAACCTCCCTCGAATATTCATCTATCCTAACCTAAAATAGTATTCTTAAGGGAGGTTCCGGTGTCTCTTCTTTAGAAAGTGGAGCACCGGTCAAGAAGAACTACGAGAAGACGGGACCAGATTACATCCGGCCCTAAATTCCTATTTTCATTCATCTCTAGACCTTTTTTTTGACAAATTATTTATTTTCAATTGTGTAAGATTGCTGCTCCTGTGTTTGATGGATCAAGAATAGGAATCTGGCACACTGAGCTGGCCGGTCAGGTTCAGGACTCTCATATCCAGGTGGTGGGAACACCACTAACTCTCATGTATGAGGAGGGGACAGCTGTTGGTGGAGGATTAACATCGTCCTACGCGGCAATTACAAAATTAATCGTAGGTAGGGTTGACTAACTACCAATTTAACCTAGATCCTAGACATACCCCTCTGGGCTTTGATACTGCCACGCCTCCTAATGGTATTTCTCTTTTATCTTGTTTGGGACTAATGCACAGTTCGCATTTATGTGNGAACCTCTCATATAGATAAAGGTTACATAAATGGAAATTGAAACCATTGATTTTCAAAAAAAAATTAACAAAATCTTAATGTAAACAGAATCAAACTAAGAAAGGAAAAAAATACTAAATTTTTTTTTGATTAATACATTTATTTTAGGCAAGTTGTCTGTTGTTGAATGCTTGATAGAGTGTGATGCCCCCGAAGGTTCCAGACATGAGATTATCAATCTTCTGGAGTTTAGTTCTCCGGTAGCAGGCTCTCCGAGACCAAACAAGAATCCAGACTTTAAACTCATTTTCAAGGAACTCGTTTATTTATTGAAAACATTAATTTTTTCATGAACTTTTTTTTATTTGTATCCTCATAGTTCTTTTGATGGCTAGGGCCAGTGCTTAGAATCCATTTCATTTTGACGTGAATCTGTATCCACTATCCAGGTCCTGAACATTTCTTCCAACATTTACTGAGTTTATTAACAAATGAAAGATTACCAACATTTTTTCTTCTTCTTTCTCTAATTTTTATGCTGAATCTTAATGAATTGTTGTTTTGAGAGCAGAAAAATATATTTCCAACTGGTTTGTGTTGATATTTTGCCCCTTGTATCCGGGGTCCGCATATCCAGGAACCAGGAGCCAAAATCTTGCGGATCCGGGTCCTAAGCACATTAAACCTTAATTTTACTTGAAGAAATTCAAATATTTTTTTTCCCTTTTTTTATGCCACAATTAACCTTAGGATATAAAAATTTGTATTTCTATGGGGAGGGAGATTTATGATAATTATATATTTTCTTCAGGACGAACAATAATCCATAAATAACGAATTTGCAGGATATCTTCAGTTCCGGAGATAATTCTCCAGTCTCCAGTATATCCCTGAACTTCAATTCTTGTAGCCTGGAGATAGATCCAGGGTTTGTAGACCGAACCTTTCTCATCTTCAACTATGCAGAGATGGACCCGGATTGTATAAGAACTGTAGTAACTCCTACTCCTGAGACGGATGTGTGTCTCCAAGTGCAGATAAACATACCGAAAGTAAAAGTTACATTTCTGATTCCTAAACCTGATATGCGGAGTCCGGGAGAGATTGGTCCAGATTTTCTCCGCGGCTTTTGGACTAGGAAAATTCATCCCGAGCTCTACACCCTGGAGATGGAAGGATTTGAGATGAGGATAGATCAGGCTGGAGGTTCTAGGTCTCCTCTGGAGCTTAACTTTGCTTCTAAAACCCTTGAGCTTTTATACCGTGAGAGTAAGGATGTAAACCAGTTTCTTCTTCTCCAGGCTAGACGACTGGTTAGCTCCGACCCCAGTAAACGAAATAATGCAGTTGAGATCAGGATAAAGATTTGTATGGACGATTCACTCAAACTGCAGGGAAAATTTAATTCAGATCAACATAAAATGCAAAAATCTGTGTTTGTCAAAAAAGACAGTTTAGACCTAGATAGTGAAACCTACTTCGTGGTTGACCCTGATACGGGGAGCAAGAGTTCAACCGACCGGAGCAACTTTACAACCCAGCTCAAGGATATCATGTCTGCTCTGAACCAGTCTTTGCTCCGTAATAATCTACTGATTGATATAAAGTTAGATGCTGTGAGTCTTGTATTACCCAACAAGAGGGTATACGAGGTTATCTATAATAGGATAGGAAACGATATGTTGCTTTGGGTTCCTTCATATTTAACCGTCAAGCAATATATATTCGGAGAAAAACTACTCAACCCGTTGGAAGATGATAGTTCCGAGTTTTCTAGTTGTTTCTCCGGTCGTAAACAGGATCAGATAAAATATGAGGAGACAGTGCCAATTAAAAATACGAATGCGTTTCCCAAGGATTTGAAAACCGGACCCTTTGAGATTCATACAGATACCGCGGTCAGTCTTTCAGTCAACCAGGTCCAACTTCTCATCTGTCTTCCCATGGAGTCGGAGCTAAACAGTCAAGACTTTGGTATTCTTCATATCTCAGCTATAGGACTCTCCTTGATATCTGCGTCCGGACTAGACAAGGATCCGGAGATTGCAATATTTAATCTGAAATGTGAGGAGGGTTGTGTAAAGTATGGATTATGTAAGAAGAATGCTCTCCCTGCTCAACTTCACTTTAACTCGGAGATAGAAAATCTTGAAGTTCTGGTGACGACAAATGCCTACTGTGACAAAGCCTGGTTGCATAAACCTGCAAATACTGGACTTCTCAACCTGACCACGAAGGTTCTACTGGACCGGAAAACTAATCTAAAATCTATCCAGCTCGCCTTTAACATAGTACAAGGAGGTATGTGTGTCCGGGAGCCGGGGAACGGATCGGATTGGATAAATTCTCTTGTGAACTTCTTCACAGTGGTCGAGTTTCCAGTTTTAGGCTATTCTCCCCCCGTTGTGCTTACAGAACTTCACTTTCTTTTGACCCAGTGTGCAGTTGAGTTCTCCCCTCCTTCTACGGAGCCTGGGAGGGCAGTTCTATGCCTGGGGAAGGTTAAGATCACCTGTAGTTTGCTGGATACTACTAAGGACGCTAGCGTGAAAATAGGAATAGAAGATGCAAGTCTGTTTGTAACAAATGATTCAATTAATCCCGTCCAATCTTCTCTGTGTGTTGCTGATATAGATTATTTTGATATAATTATTTCTCTCTGTGAACCGGAGAAGAATTCTGAAGAGCTAGTATCTGAGAAGAACCCAGAGCTGGCTGAACCCTCGGATCCACTTCTCATTGTCTCTGCTAAATGTAACCTTGTCAGAGTAAGGACGTGTGCTGATACACTCCAGCTCTTAATCAATGTATTCTCTGGATTTTCAGAATCAGAGACGACTCTGTCTGTAACGGAATCTGCATCGGAAGATAAATCGTTGCAGATTGAGTCGGAGACTGGAGACATTCTCCCTGATCTTGAAGATGCTATGGCGGAGCTGATGGGTCCAAAAGACGTGAAACCGGAGAAAGAAGATGCGGAGAAACCGCGCCCAACTTGTGGAACTCAGGTTTTCTTCTTTCCAGATGAAAATTGTCCCATTCTTCCTCCAACTTCCGTTGACTTAATGTCACAGTCTATCTATGTAGAACGAAAAAACTCGTCGGATTCGGAGGATTTCTGCGATCTTGAAAGTTTCTGTATATTGGAGGAAGAGGAAGGGAGTGGGATAGTTTCCAGCTCCGGAGAACCAACCATACGCGTCCTAGATCTAACTGGATTAAAAATTGATGAGAACCATTTTACTGTTCCCCAGGAGGGAATGGATCATCTGAAACCTCCGCGAGGTTTCCCCCTGTCTCAGGTGAAGCTGGCTCTTACTAAACTATCCTTGGTTTGGCAAATATTCGGAGGAAATGATCTCTCCGAGAGTAAAGAGATGAAGTGTAGTACCAAGGCTAAGTTACAGAAGATGGGAATGTCAATGATTGACGAGAAGAAACGAAACACAAACTCCTCGAAGCCTGGATCAAGCTCAGCCCGCCATATTTCTGAGTCATTGAAGACGGTTGGAGGCCCCGGCAGGGATCAGGATGTTCTCATAGAATTATCAATTTTCAAAATGGCCGCACAGCATGAAACATATCTTAGAACAGAGGAACGAAACTCTCCTGTATCCCGTCAGATTTTACTTATTCCGAACCTTGAAATCCGAGACAGGTTGGTTGAGAGCGAGATAAACAAACTACTTCATATGCACAGCAGTAAATCCAGACCTCGACAAAGTTCTGCACACATGCTCAGCATTAAAGCTCTAACCGTTCATCCCGATCCTTCCAGTCAACTTGAGGAAACCTCGCTCAAGGTTTCTCTTCAACCTTTCAGAATTAACATTGATCAAGACACTTTGTTCTTCTTAATTGACTTTGTAAATTCTTTTATTCCTCAAGAGCCTGATCCTACGACTGAACTATCACCGAATAAGGATCTGGATCCTATGGATAGGGATAGAAGCGGAAGTATAAAGTTTAGTTCCGGACTCCAGGCAATAAAAATGGAGGTTCCAGAGGGGACAGAGGTGTTTGAGGATGCCCGGAGTTCTCCTCCAAAACTTGAAGATGAGGAGGACAAGGAACCGGAGGAGGATTTTACTCCTAGTTCTAAGTCCTCCACTCCTGGTCCTGGTTCTAATCCTATAAACAATATATACTTTAAATCCTTTATTTTCTCGCCCTCTGTGCCTATACGAATCGATTATGTAGGAAAGTATGTTGATTTAACCCAGGGTGCTCTGACCGGGATACTGGCAGGGTTAGCTCAGCTCAATTGCTCAGAGATAACATTACGACAACTAGAGTTTAAACAAGGTATATTGGGACTGGATAAACTACTCGCCATGGCAGCTACAGCATGGATGGCAGATATTAGGAGCACCCAGGTACCCGCCCTACTTGGCGGAGTAGGTCCTATGCATGCCCTGCTCCAGATGGTGACTGGTCTTCGGGATCTAATCTGTATGCCCATAGAACAGTACAGGAAGGATGGTCGGATAGTTCGAGGTATACAGAGGGGAACAACTAGTTTTACTCATTCCACTACATTATCCATCCTTGAAGTTACAAACAAGATTCTTAATGTTGTCAAGTTTGCCGCTGAACTTGCCTTTGATGTGATGTCCCCTGAAGGTTGTGTTGTAAAGGGGAAACTACCTCACCCAACTCAATACTGTAGGAGACGGATTGGAAGATCAGGTTTGAGAAGGGCCCGGGGGGCTCCGCATGATATGAGAGAGGGTATGTTGGGAGCTATGGCTCTGGTCCGGGAGGGGTTTGACGAAACGGCCAGGTCCCTGGCCGAAGCTGCACATGAACGGACAGGAATGGCTGGAGTAGTGGGAGGGGTTCTCCGAGCTGTTCCTAGTACTATGGTTCGACCAGTTATACTTGGAGCTGCTGCAACTTCAAACCTCCTGGATGGTGTTAAAAATCAAATATCTCCATCTCAGAGATTAGAAGAAGAAGAAAAATGGAAAACTCAATAGTTAAACAAATTTTTTGTACCTCGAGTAAAAATTACATACATAGTACATTATAAATAATAATAATAACAATGAATTTATTTGCATCAATTTTTCTTCTTTCTTGACGCGGTTCCTCCAACATTTCTCTCCTTGTACGGATCCAGTCTCCAGCCGGAGGAGGATGGACGTCTTGTCTCTCGTAACTTGGCCTGAATTAAACACGTGTTAGATAGATTATAATAAACATTAAACATATTTAGCGTGAGTTGCTAGGGTCTTTTCTATTTTTGGTGGATCCGGATCCTAAATTCGATTATTGGAAAAATTATTCCGGATTTGAATCCAGCTTCCTAAGTTTTTACAAATTTTTTGAAAGGTTTAACAAACATATTTTGAATAGGTTGAATTATATCTTTCTCAACTATATTTGGTTTAAAGCTTTTATTCCCAGGAATCTTTACCTACTTTATGTTCGCTATTGGTTTGTTGGAGACTAAATGTTTGCAGGGTTAAACAATATACAGTGACGTACACTTGTTTGATGTATTGGATAGGATCATCGAGATATTAGTAATAGAGGGGGCATCTGGAATTTTAGACTTCTTGTTGTACAGCCACTGTACACAATGACCCGCTCAGAAATTCTACCTGGGGGGATCATAATTCGTAGATCAGTTTTGAAAGTTATTGTTTGAAAGTGAAGACTACAATATTCAAGCAAAGAAAACAAGTCCATATGTACACTACAATATCTCATTGTTGAAAAATATTATAATTAACTGTCCACTCAATACCGTACAAATAGATGTACTTAGGATTAAATCTACTGTACTCTTTGATACCAACTCAGTCATAAGGAAACATTTTTCGACAAATTTCACTGTACAGTATAAACCTAGCCAGGCAAAATTAGGAGAGTTATGCCCGCCCCCTGGATAGGATGAAAATAGCAGATATTTGCAAATATTCAGCGTTTAATATTTAGTGCAAGAGCTTTCTTTTGATCATACTTATCTCGGGTATCATTAGTTTCGACAAAAACAAAAATTAAGAATAGGAGTTTGTGCGTCATCAACCAGGGTCCCCAATACGAAGAGAAGACATTGGTATTAATTGAATAGAGTTTTTTTTTTTGTATTGAGATGCAATCTTTAAAACTTTTTTAATTGTGTTTTTTATATACAGGGTTACCCACACAGGATGAGACTAAATGCGACTTAAACTTATTCAAAATGGCTTATTTAATGATTTGGAAAAGAAAGAAAGACGTTTACAGTGTAGGGAATAGTGAAAATAAGGAAAATGAATGTATCAATTCCGTACAGTCGTCTCTGATGTCTTGTCCTTTGTGAGTAAATTTGTATATATTATTAGTAAATTGTTTTCTTGCAGAAAATCCATGCATCAATATATATAACGAGTCTGCGGGTGTAATGAATGTTTTTGTTAAAGCATTATAAAGGTTTTAATATAAGAAATGTCTGACAAGGAATGTTCCCGGGACAGAAGAATGTTTGTAACCGGAGTAAATTAGAATTTAGCACAAAAGAAGAGAATTTATTAGATTCCTCAAATACATGTAATAATGCTCAAAAAATTGGAGATTAGAAAAATAGCTTTACAGCTACTCATGGGAATTGTTGGCCTGTTTTTAAATATTCAAATTTTAGGCTTTTTCAAGAATGTTAGATGAGATGTAAATCATATTATAAAAATGCATGCTAGATATATTTGCTTTTATTAAATTATTCAACATTTTTACTACGACCAAAGATCTTAATCAAAACTATTTTTCTTTTTGAAAAATCGTCTTGGTTAATTTCTTTTATCGCATAATCTATTAAAGTAATAAATGCAAACTTAACGAGAATTTAATTTTGCAATTTAATTAATATCTCACATTTTTGTGAAACACCTGAAACGCGCAAAAAACCTAATGTCCATCAAAACTTAAAGCTGGTTAAAAAAATGTCGACATTTATTAAACATTTTATCTTTTAAAGCGCAGAGTTTTGTACAAATTGTACAATTTGATATTTCGATAAAGTTTGTTGCATATAATTTCACTGAGAAAACTTAATTGCAAAAACATATGTAATCAGAACTCAGAACGACTGTAATAAAAGAATTCAATTTCAACGACAAGACCATCATTTGAGTCTTTCGGGCAGAAACGGAAAATTTGTAACTTTAAAATTGTTAATCTTAGGTTAAAGCATTGATCCTCTTCGAGATCTCTTGATGATCATACCCTGCAGGGATATCTTGAATTGAGGGATCAAGCATTTATCATCAAAGTTAAAGTGCCCGCATTGGATAATAAGACTAAGTTTTTAAAATTAACGATACTCCACCAAAATTCCGATCTAAGGTGATTGAAATCAACCCTTCAAGTTCTAATTTCAATCTTGTGAAATAATGTAGTAAAAATACAAAGACAGGGATATCTTTGTGCCATAAGTTAACAGATATAATTTAGTTAAATGGTACTGTAAGCGTAATTTCTAGAGATTTATCAGGCAAAAATTACATTGCCCGATTGCCCGAAGTAGACAGTGGTACACTTGAAACATTTATCTGATATTTTCGTTATTTTAGGTTTAAAAGTATTTAGTTCTGATGAATCTCATATCTTTCTATAGTTTAAATGCACGTAATCATTTTTGTAGAAAAGCCACGATAGAAAATAATCAGCATTCAAAATTATTAACATTGATATCTAATTCATAATTGATCAGACAAAGCTTTCGAGGGTTCCGAATTTTGTATCTGGCATTGCCATCTTTACATTGTGGGTCTTATGAAATTACACTTACAGTTCGTTTAAAAGGGTTTATTGTTGCTCTTATAGGATGTTTGACGTCACTGATTACAGATGTGAGAGTGACGTCATATACGAATTTGATGATTTGATCTATCTATGCCTAGGCGACGACATTTCCCGTACATTGGAGCGCATCGAGAGTTATCAACCTCATCAAACAACCTTGAAACAATCCCGTAAATAAAAATGTTCTCTTCACCTGTGTATTCAGTAGACCGTTCTTCATCTTTGTGAACTCCGGTACATTGTCCTCCTGCTTCCCCTTGAGGCTGGTGTTACTACCCGACCTCGAGTAGGCCAGCTGTTTCACCTCGGAGAGGATCTTAGCAATGAAATCCTCGCCACGTGACTCTATCACGTAGTCACAGGACGGAGATCTTCTTGTGTGCCGGACCCAGGGATCCTAGGTATAAATATCAATTAAATGAAGAAGTTCAATTTATTTATGTGATGATGAATAATACATTTAAAAAAAATGAGTTATTGAGGTAAACTCAATCAGATGTCAAGGCATTGCGACACTTTCAAGTTGACTGAGTCTTGACAATGGAATCAACTTTTCATTTTATCTGAATGCACTAGAAAATAACTAAAAACTTTTTTTTCAATCAAATGTCAAACAAGATTTGTTAATGCCAGTTTTGCGATATTCAGTAAAAGACACTATTTTTACTATTAAAATATACATTTTGTTACTCTATTCTTATTTATGCATCCTTTCACCCTTTCACTTTTTATGTATTCTTTTATTCATTTAGTTATTCAATTATTAAAGTACTCTTTTTCCCCTTTTCTTTCTTTTTTTAATATTAATATTCTGGGTTTTCTAGTAAATGCAATAAGTAAATACCTCTTTAGCATTAGAAACTTTTTAATATTAATATTCAGGGTTTTCTAGTAATATGCAATAAGTAAATACCTCTTTAGCATTAGAAATCTTTTTTAATATTAATATTCTGGGTTTTCTAGTAATATGCAATAAGTAAATACCTCTTTAGCATTAGAAACCTTTTTTAATATTAATATTCAGGGTTTTCTAGTAATATGCAATAAGTAAATACCTCTTTAGCATTAGAAACTTTTTTTAATATTAATATTCAGGGTTTTCTANGTATCTTAAGGTTTAAACACGAACACCTTCATACCACAAGCTATCTGACTGTTCTTAATAGCTTATACGTGAATATAAAAACACTACTGCATATTCTGCCTAATATGATATTTAAGAATATAAATCTTGGAGAATTCACAGCAATAAGTATAATGTATCTAGGAGTATTCACAGAGATAAGTCTAATGTATCTTGGAGTTTTACCGAGATAATTTTAATGTATCTAGGAGTATTTACAGAGATAAGTTTAATGTATCTAGGAGTATTTACAGAGATAAGTTTAATGTATCTTGGAGTATTCACAGAGATAAATTTAATGTATCTTGGAGTATTCACTTCACAGTCACAGAGAATATTCACAGAGATACGTTTAATGTATCTAGGAGTATTCACAGAGATTAGTTTAACGTATCTTGGAGTATTCACTTCACAGTCACAGAGATAAGACAAATATCAAAAGTCACAGAGATACATAAGTTTAATGTATCTAGGAGTATTCACAACGATAATTCTAAGGTATCTAGGATTATCCACAGAGATAAGTTTATTGAACCTAGGAGTATTCACAGCGATAAGTCTAATGTATCCAGGAGTATTCACAGAGATAAGTCCGATGTATCTAGGAGTTTTCACAGAAATAAGTCTAATGTATCTAGGAGTATTCACAGCGATAAGTCTAGTGTGTCTAGGAGTATTCACAGAGATAAGTTTAATGTATTTTGGAGTATTCACAGAAATAATTTTAATGAATCTAGGAGTATTCACAGAGATAAGTTTAATGTTTCTAGGAGTGTTCACAGAGCTAAGTTTGATTTATCTAGGAGTATTCACAGGGATAAGTCTAATGTATCGAGGAGTTTTCAGACAGATAATTCCAATGTTTCCAGGAGTATTCACAGGGATAAGTCTAATGTATCCAGGAGTATTCTCAGAGATAAGTCCAAATTATCCAGGAGTATTGACTTAGATAAGTCTAATGTTTCTAGGAGTATTCACAGAGATAAGTCCAATGTATCCAGGAGTATTCCCAAAGTTAAGTCTAATGTATCTTGGAGTATTCACAGAGATAAGCTTAATGTATCCAGGAGTATTCTCAGAGATACGTTTAATGTTTCTAGGAGTATTCACAGAGATAAGTCTAATGTATCCAGGAGTATTCACAGAGATAAGTTCAATGTTTCTAGGAGTATTCACTAAGATAAGTTTAATGTATCTTGGAGTATTCACAGAGATAAGTTTAATGTATCTAGGAGTATTCACAGAGATAAGTTTTCTGTATCTAGGAGTATTCACAGAGATAAGTATAATGTATCTAAGAGTAACTTTCTGGGGAATACAAAAATAAAAAGGAGTCTTAAGAAGTATTGGATATTACTGTGACTAACTCCTTAAAACGTGTTAATCTTAATAAATTAAAACTCTAAGAGTTTATGTGAAAGCAATTTTGCTGATGAACTTTCTTTGCAATTTCTGAAAGAAGCTATTTTACCAATTCTAGGTAATTCTTTCTTTAAGAAATTAACAAGCTAGAGGAAATACTGCAAGTACAGTTATTTCATTATACTGTTGCAGAATTATTTAATAGGGTTCCGCAAAGGATTCGACTTTAATGACGACCAGATATGACAGGTTTAAAGGGACAGACTGGCTATGTAAGGTAGTTAAACTGAGTATGCAGTGTTGTGGACAAATTCTTTAGGATTCATTTGAGACATATCAAACTTTTTAAAGATCTGCAAATCCTGAGTTTGAGCGCAAAGTCGACGTTCAAAATCGTACTTTTGGGTGGATACGTTTTCAAAATTGTTTTTTTTTTAATTATTAGATAACGACGACAAAAAATGTAAACAAAATTCTACAGTAAACTAATTAGTTGTTTAGGAGCAGTTTGAGAAAATAAGAATTAACCCTATCATCGAAAATAAGTAATCTTATTCAATTATTAGTTTCTATAATCTCTCTTTAATCAAAAAGATTTAATGGAATTTTTATTAAAAAGACGACATTTGGAGAATTTGAAGAAATCTGCGAACAAATTCATAGAAAATAAGAAATTCAATATAATGATGAAAACGGAAATTATTAATTCTAACTTCGATTTATTGACAAATTTCTTTTGAGATATATATTCCTAAACATCTGATTAGTTTATTATAGAATTTTACTATATTCTCGTCGTCGTTATTTAATAAATTAAAAAAAAACCGATTCTGAAAACGTACCCACCCAAATTCATGATTTTAAACGTCGACTTTGCGCTCAAACTCAGTAAGTATACATCGTGGAAACGTTATATATATCTCAAATGAATCCTAAAGAATTTGTCCACAACACTGCATACTCAGTTTAACTACCTTACATAGCCGGTCTGTCCCTTTAAAGTTAAATTAGTCTTTTGCTTATCACTGTTTCCTTTAACTCTGAAGAAAACTGGTAGTTTTTTAACAACCAAAAAAATAAATGAAAAAATTGAAATCTAGGATTGATAATATGTGTCGAGTACAGGAATTTGAGATACAATGAGAACCAGAAAATTTTGGAATAGGAATACGACATTAAAGAAATACTTATGTGTCTTTGATGAACTGGGCCTGACAGTTTACACAGCAAATTTTCAGCAATGTCGGATTCGTTTGACATTTTCTAGCTACGGTTCAGCTGCAACTTCCTTGCCTAGCTAGCTCGGGAAATCGCAGCTAAATCACAGATGGAAAATGTTTAACGAATCGATGGGTCTCATCTTCATTGGACAACTATAGTTATAACTTGAATCTAAAAGTCGTCTTCCTTATTACAGAGTTTTCTGGCTCTCACTGTAGTTGTTTAGCTTGATAAGTAAATATGTACAATTAATTTGAAATATTTTTTAATATTGTAAATCTTTTATTAAATTCTTCTGGTCGAATCGGAATATGTCGACTGTCAATAATATTCATCAGGGGCGCCCACATAGATATATTGGAGGAGTCAAGTGTTTATTTATAGTTCTTATTCACGCTAAAAATATAGAAAAATAGAAAACTGTTCTGACAATAAATTTAAAAAGTGTATTAACTGGAAATTATTATGTTTGAATTTTCAAAAACTTGAAACACCAAAGAGATTGAAGGCTCTTCAAAAGCACAAAGAAGTAATCATTGGGAAAATAAACGGGAAGTATAAGGAGTGTAGTACTGATGAAATCTTTATTATAATGTTTCATTCAATTTTCCTTTGATTTATAAAATTCATTAAAATTGATTTGATTATAAACAAATACTTTAAATAGAATTGTTGAAATTTAAAGAAAGGCATCAATAAATTTAGTTTGATTTGAACATCACAATTACATTTTGTTTTATTTTCTAAGAAGAAAATAGAATAAAATGTACTTGGAAAATAGGATAAAATGTACTTGGAAAATCATCAGATTTTTTATTCTCAGATATAAACTAATAAATAAATAAAATAAAATAAAATAAAATAAAATAAAAGAACTAAACATTTTCTCAAAACTTAGATTTTTCCAATTTCTATATCTTTGCAACCTGATGGTGTAAACTTTTAATATTTTAAACTTTTGCTATCTTTTTATTAAGCAGAATTCATTCTTTAAAGCATCAAAGATCTACGACCATTGGCGTACGATACTTTTTTCTGGAAGCGTACATAACTTTGAAAAAAAAGTGAAAGGGGGGGGGGAGGGGGCTAGGGATGAGCTAGCCCGGCCTCCCTGTTCAGTGCTTTTGGGGAGAACATAATTTCTTAATAAGTATGGGTTCTTTCTCATTTTATCATGTTCATCTAAAAATAGGACAAAAGAAGATTTAAAGTATAATTTCAACTATGCATTTTTTATACCTAGGGGGAAGGGGGGGCCCTAGGGGGGTAAAAATCAAGGATTCCCCCTTACCCCTGCCCTCTATGCCCCTGTCTATGACATGAGACTATAAAGATGTAAGAATTATAAGTAAGTGTTAAGTTTCTTTGTTTGTGAGTTTCTATATCTTGAAACTAATTACAATATCTACAGGGTGAGTCAAAAAAGGGATCATCGATGTTTTAAACAAAATTATCAAAATTTTTCTTTTGTTTCGATTTTAGGCATAAAAAATTTGATAAAAAAATCCGCGAAACCAATTTCTTTTTGGAAAAAATAAAAAAAAATTTAAAAATTGTTGAAAAACGTTTACCCTATTGTTTTCCAAAATTTTAGTCTTTATGCCTAAAATACGAACAGATAAAATAAATAAAAAATGTTGTCTTAAACATCGATAATCCCTGTTTATTTTTACTCACCCTGTATAATGATGAATTAATCCTTTTCTTAATCTTAAACCCATCAGGATTGGAAATATTATTTCCACAGATAGGTAATATAAGAGGTTTTATCACGGATCAACAATAATAGATTCTAAATGTTGGGGGGGGNTATTATCAAGGGAAGGTTGAACCTTTTTTTTAACTATCTACGCAAACCTTTTCATGGTTCGATTAGTCGGATTCTAATAAAGTTGTCAAATACAAAATGTTCTTGTTTGAACCTAATAAAACTCAATATAAGCCTCTTTCTTCTTTTAGTTTTGAATTGAAAAATAAAATAAATCACGTCCACATTTTCAAATTCAATAATATTTTTTTTCTTCAAAATATCAATTTTGACAAATATATCAAGGCCGTTTCAGTCCAACAAACTGTATCAAATAATTGAGAGAAAAAAATTATTTTTGGAACCTAAAGTGACTCTCGACGTTATTTGAAATGACCCTCTGTAATATTCTTGATATATCAGAATTATATCTGAGATAAGTTTAATGAAACAATAATCACAAAATATATTTTTGTCATTTTGACAGTATCCTTTCCTTGCCTCAGTTGCATAATTCCACGATTCACTTGAAAACCGCAATTGAAAAATAACAGAAGAAAAGGCTAGCTTTTTTTTGGCACAGTCAACGGTTGTGAATTGGACTCTTTAAATGTTGGGTCCCTTAAAATCACGTGGTAAGTTGAATATTTTTACCTCTGCAGGTTTCCAGTGTTTCTGACAGGTTTCACAGGAAAAGCATTGGACACAGTCACTGGGTCCTGAATATTTATTGTTGTAAACCCCGAGTTTTATTTGGTCAACAGCAGAATTTAAAACGCAATAATTAACTCTCTTAGTTCATATTTATTAATTCAATAATTGTAATAATTGTATATTTATATTTAGGAGATTAATGTTCAGCATTCGGATCCACCTCGGTCTCAAACAACAGCAGGAGCTCCGCCCTTCTCAGCACCAGCAAGGACATGTGAGTCAACAGTTCCACCTTCATCCTCAGATAGCGTTCCTCCCTAGATATCCTCCTATGCCCCTGAGATGCATCTACAATTAATTGATGTAGGCTCTGCCAGGCAACATCTATCTGACCCTCGACCTTTCTCCAGTTACTTATAACTACACCTATCCGGCCTCTGTCTGGTTGGAGGCCAAGTCTCATCCACAGGAGGTCGTCCTCGTCTGCATCCTCAGGCTTATCCTCTGAGTCGGGGGGATCTACATTAGGATCCCCCGTCTGGGGGTCATCTCCTCCTGGCCCTCTCCTATCCAGATCATTCCCTCCTTCATCTACAGGTCTCTCAGACACATCATCAGCAGGCAGGACCCAAACTACAGCCCCATGGTCTTCATGGTCACCACCCCCTGGGAGTAGGGTGGTCGTAATCTCCATTATAGCTTTTATTAACCCTTTGTGGTATTGTTAATTACTTAGCTATTAATATATTTATAATCAATCAAGAATTATTTATCTTTGTATATAACTTTACTAAGCTATTGGTCTTGCTTAGCGTTACAGAGCTATCTTATCTAGCTTTACGGAGCTATTGACTTTGCGGAGCTATTAACTTTATCTAGCGTGCATTGATTATCTCACTTGAGATCAGAGATAAACAATGCCACAAACTCTAATCCGTCGTTATTTATAATAAAGCTTTAGCAACTTTATGGTATTTTAGTTACTTTGCTATTGATATAATTATTAACAATCTAGAATCAGTTATCTTTATAATAGCTTTATTAAGCTATTTGTCTTGCTTAATTATATAAAGCTATTTAATTTTACTTAGCGGAGCTAAGGATCATCTTTATACAAATAGCTTTACAAAGCTATTTGTCTTATCAAGCTTTGCAGGGCCAAGGAGCCGGCTTAGCTTTACGGAGCTATTTATCCTGCTTAGCTTTACAGCGCTATTTATCCGGCTTAGCTTTACAGAGCTATTTATCTCATCTAGCATTGCAGAGCTATGTATGGTATTTAGCTATGTAGAACTATATATATTCTATTCCGTTGATGTAGAGCTAGATATTTCTTTGCGGAGCTATATATTGTATTTAGCTATGCAGGATTATATATCCTTGCCTATCTATGCTAAGATAGATATATATAACTAGCTATTCAGAGTTGAATATGTTTATCAGGCTATGTTATGTTAATGTTAAGCTAATAGTCTGAGTTATGAATCTGTTAGAGTTGTGAGCTGCACTTGACCTAAGGTAGAAGATTATATTAGGATTATAATTCTTTCTACTAGTAAGGTTCTTTGTGCACTCCCGTTCCTTTTTCCTTTGATTCATTATATAGAGCGCTTGCAGCATGTTATATATATATATGTTTATATATAAATATATACATGAATTCTAAGGTATTCCTAATCCTTTCTAGATTACAACATTATAAACTAAAAACTATTTATCTAACTATTTTTATGTAATTTTTTAAACTTTTAAACAAATTTTATAGAGATTTTTTCTCATCAAAACAAAATATAACTATTTAAATAAAATAAAAATAAAACTTCTTCAAGTTTTAAAAACTGTAAAATCTATCTGGTTTTGTAGCACATATTTTTGAGTTTAGAAATTAAATCTAATGTTTTCGAAGTTGTAAATCCGCAACTTATAGACAGAAAAACAAGCAATTAGATTGCATCCCAACATTGCGACCCTGGTCTCATAATTTTGTTCAAACGTTGGAAAAATATATCTATATATCTATTCAATTTATTGTTCGGTCAAAAAAACAGATTAACATTCCTCATACACAATGTTTCATGGACCAACTGTCATGGACCAATCTTCAGTGAGGTCTGTTCTCAACTCTATATATATCCATATAAATCTATATTTATAAAGTTGTAATCTCTGTTTGTCTGTTTGTCTCAGAAACCCCTGGACCGATGGGCCTGTGATTGGAGAACTCGGGAAACCCAAGGGAATGTTCTTAGCTTGGTTTAGAGGTTCTAAGTTGAGTGGGTCGACTTTAATGGTGAAAATTTAGTTTCTCGGTAAAATAGTACAAGTGCGGGTAAACGGTGGGAGTAACTATGAGTAACCTGGGCAGCACTGGGTTCCCAAGCTAGTTTCATATTTATAAATAAACTAATATTTGGATGCAGTGATAACCAATATTCCGCATGGTAATCGTATTCTGGGGGAATAACTGAAATAAAAATTTAAAGTGCACACAGTGAATATCGAGATAAAGCTATGGGGATTATGATTATCAAATACAAAGGTATACTCATAATTTTGATCGCTCCAGGGACCATTTTTTCCGAATTTAATCAATTGAAAATAAGATTACATAAAATAAGATAAAAAGAAGTGAAGAACACTACACTCATTCCACATTCTGGTATTCACTGTACAGTACTGTACTGTATGTATTCACTGTACAGAACTGTATGTATTCATTGTACAGTACTGTATGTATTCACTGTACAGTACTGTACTGTGTGTATTCACTGTACAGTACTGTATGTATTCACTGTACAGTACTGTATGTATTCACTGTACAGTGTACCGCGAGTATTCACTGTACAGTGTACTGTATGTATTCACTGTACAGTGTACTGTGAGTATTCACTGTACTGTGTACTGTATGTATTCACTGTACAGTGTACTTGTGTATTCACTGTACAGTACAGTACTGTGCGTATTCACTGTACAGTGTACTGTGTGTATTCACTATACAGTACTGTACTGTGTATATTCACTGTACAGTACTGTACTGTGTGTATTCACTGTACAGTACTGTACTGAGTGTATTCACTGTACAGTACTGTATGTATTCACTGTACAGTGTACTGTGAATATTCACTGTACAGTGTACTGTATGTATTCACTGTACAGTGTACTGTGAATATTTACTGTACCGTGTACTGTATGTATTCACTGTACAGTGCACTGTGAATATTCACTGTACAGTGTACTGTATGTATTCACTGTACAGTGTACTGTATGTATTCACTGTACAGTGTACTGTATGTATTCACTGTACAGTAATGTATGTATTCACTGTACAGTGTACTGTATGTATTCACTGTACAGTGTACTTGTGTATTCACTGTACAGTACAGTACTGTATGTATTCACTGTACAGTGTACTGTGTGTATTCACTGTACAGTACTGTACATTGTGTATTCACTGTACAGTACTGTACTGTGTGTATTCACTGTACATTACTGTACTGTGTGTATTCACTGTACAGTACTGTACTGTGTGTATTTTTTGTACAGTACTTTACTGTGTGTATTTACTGTACAGTGTACTGTGTGTACTCACTGTACAGTGTACTGTGTGTATTTACTGTATAGTGTACTGTGAATATTCACTGTACAGTGTACTGTGTGTATTCACTTTACAGTGTACTGTGTGTATTTACTGTACAGTGTACTGTGTGTACTCACTGTACAGTGTACTGTGTGTATTCACTGTACAGTGTACTGTGTGTATTCACTGTACAGTGTACTGTGTGTATTCACTGCACAGTGTACTGTGTGTGTTCACTGTACAGTGTACTGTGTGTATTTACCGTACAGTGTACTGTGTGTATTCACTGTACAGTGTACTGTGTGTATTCACTGTACAGTGTACTGTGTGTATTCACTGTACAGTGTACTTTGCGTATTCACTTTACAGTGTACTGTGCGTATTCACTGTACAATGTACTGTGTGTATTCATTGTACAGTGTACTGTGTGTATTTACTGTACAGTGTACTGTGTGTATTCACTGAACAGTACTGTACTGTGTGTATTCACTGTACAGTGTACTGTGTGTATTCACTGTACGGTGTACTGTGTGTATTCACTGTACAGTACTGTACTGTGTTTATTTACTGTACAGTGTACTCCGTGTATTCACTGTACAGTGTACTGTGTGTATTCACTGTACACTGTACAGTGCACTGTGTGTATTCACTATTTCTAAATTTCCTTCAAGAAGTTTGAGATTAGGATATTAAGACAAAAACAATGAAATGGAAATAGTTTAATCTGAAATTGAATTTTGATATTATGCATATTTACATTGTATCATGCAGGGTGTCCCACAAAACATGAGAGTGGAGAGACGCCTTCAAGTCGTCTTTTTAAATAATTTGCGGTATTCATAATTCATATATTCGCAAACCAGTTTTAGAAGTAGAATTCTTGAATCAAAACTAAGGAGGAGCTACGAGTATACAAAGTAGGACAAGTAATTACTAGATTGGATCTATGTTATTTTTCAGTTCAATAGTTAATTGTTAATTACAAATCAGTTAAATGATTAAAATTAAGTAACGTTCTCCGTAAATATCTGTCAAATATTTTATTTTTAATAATAACTCAGTAGTATATATTATAAACCGACCTTACCCTTGAAAATAAGAAACATTCCATCCCTAAAGGGACTATGAACATAATTTAAAGTAACCCTCTATTGATAAATCTGCATGTTTTTCTATCTAAAAACTGTATTTTTCTATTTGTGGCTTCTCTGCAAAAGTTACTTTTTGCACATTCTTGATCTGAATAATGTTTAAAGAGTACAATGCCGGCCAAGATCTTTTATTAAATGACGATAATCTTTAAAAGTGTAATTTTTGTCACAATTAAATCAGATTTTTGTTTTATTATTTTGATAAATTTACCAATAAAGTAGAAGCCTGCTTCTGCCAGTTCAGACGGGGAGGGAGATGTCCATCTAAAAATAAATTAAAATTATTTTTGTTTTTCGGTAAACTATAGATTTTAACATTTAAAGGCGCTGTTTGGGTAATTTCAAGTGACCCTCCATGCAATGCCCGATTTACAACGGTACCCTTCTTCGGTATCTTTGCAGTCCAATGTTATAGACATTTGACATTTCAAACTATGAGGGTTCCTCAATATTCAGGGTTCCTGGATATTCAGGGTTTTATAGATAAACAGGGTTTCTGGATATTCAGGGTTTTTCAATATTCGAGGGTTTAAGATAACACAGAAGTTCTAGATATCCATGGTTCCTGGATATCCAGGATTTTATTGATAAACATGGTTTCCGGATATTCATGGTTTCTAAATATTCAGGGTTTCTGGATATTCGTGGTTTCTGAATATTCAGGGTTTCTGGATATGCTTGGTTTCTGGATATTCAGGGTTTTTTGGATATTGATGGTTCCTTGATATCCAGGATTTATAGAAAAACAGAGTTTCTGGATATTCATGGTTTCTAAATATACATAGCTTCTGGATATTCTGTATTGACTACAAAAATTTTATTTTACCTGAATTTTGAGTTTGAGTAAGTATCCAGTCTGTTATGGTAACAGGAGTTCGGGTTCCTAGTCAGGGGGTCCAGGTTTACCTGCAGGGTTCAAACAACTATTAGATCAATTAAACAACATGACACAAACAATAGTTCGGGTTCCTAGCCAGGGGGTCCAGGTTTACCTGCAGGGTTTAAACAACAATTAGATTAATTAAACAACATGACACAAACAAAAGCTCAACGAAACCTGAGTTTGAAACTTTTATGTAGAGCATCTTCAATTTTTTACGTTGAGTACGATATCCAATACAGGCACTTTTAATTTTGAGGATCAATGTTTGATCCCTTAATTGAAATTATCCTTACTCAGTTTAAACTTAAGCTAGAAATAAGCGTGTTGCATTTATAAGATGTATTTGCATAGGGCTACAAAAAAAGCATAAGTTAATTGGTGAAGTAAAATCAAGGTGTTGCGACACTTTAAAGTTGAGGCTGTATAAAAATGTAATAACTTAACTTCAGAGTTGTTTTATATCTCAGTAAACCACAGGGTATCGGAGAGAAATAAAAATGAATCCGCAGGACTTTATCATTCACAACACAAAATTTCTTGCTTCTAATTGTGTAGAGAACAAAATTCCTGAGAAAATGTACCAGAGCGGAAACTTTAAAAAACTTTTTAAAAAGTAAATACGTAAAATTTTTATTTACTGGGCTAGAATGGGTTCTAAAGTGGCCTTTTTAGCATTCTTAAAACATTTTTTTAAAAAGTGAATATTTGCAAATTATCTTTTTTTCATCTCATAATCTGAGTTCGTTTCCCTTATTTCCATTTGACAGCCAAAATTTTTATTTTGAATAATCTTTTTTTTATCGATTTTGATGGTTATTATATCGTTAGAACTGACGAGGGTCAACCCAGACCGAAATATATTTTCAATAAATGTAGAACTAACATCTACTTTTTTACTCTACAGAGGTTTGGTCCATCACCATCACCGAATTTCAAATAAGTAATAGTTAATTGTTCACCATAACACAATCACAAAGATTGTACAAGGCATGATTATAAATTTAAATTTTTGAAAGTTACAATACCAAATGTAATGGCATTAATGCATAGGATGCAAAATTTAGAAAAGCCGGCAAATGTTATCATTAAAAGAAAAATTATTTTGAACTCTAATGCCATATGCCATGTATGCTAAAAATTTAATATTGAATTTTTGAAATAGATGGTAACGTAAAATTTGTACACTTTCAGTACAGCTGTATTCTTACGTCACAAGTGTTAACTTAGTTTTTGTGTCCGACAAAATTATTTATAATAGTGATAATTTTAAAATAAAGTGCTTATCTTACAGCAAAATAGGTGCGATTTTATGTGTTTTTTATTTTCTTGTTTTACACTATATTATTAAATCTTGGAAAACATGTCAACTTATGTGAGAAAATTTCGTTTTCCTTGTTATATTTGACACTTGTGACGTCGTGTATAATTGTTCTATTTCTCTGATGCCGCCTATTGTACTTGATAATCTATTTATCAAGATATAGAGGACTTCGCAAACAATAAACATTAATATTGAGGGGTTTAACGCCTAAAAAGGAGAAAAGTTGCCATAAAAAAATTGAGGTGTAAGAACTATAAGGTTTTACTTAATCCTTACCTTAATCCCGGAACTGAGTTCAGTTTCCGGTTCCGGAGCCGGACTCCTGGGAAGTGGAGTTGGAGGTTGCATCACAAGTGACACTGAAATAGTCAATTTTTTTTTAAATATTATCAACTTTGGAACTATGGTCAAACCAACGGTATTAGGGTATTATACCATTGAATTATCAAGTACACAACATAAAATTGTCTAATTCCTATATCTTTGCAACCATCGAACTTTCAAATTTAGATTATTTTTTCTATAAAAGAAGTCATACCTTGAAATATCAAAATCAGATTGTTAAGTTATGTATTAGAAAATGGTAGTTTGTGGCAAAGACTCAATTCCTTTCCGAGAGTTATCAGCATATATAAAGTAGCAATATCTGTGTACTTGAATGATGACTTACAAGCCCCTTGGCCGATTTGTCCCAAATTTTGATTAAGAAAATCGGTAGAACCAAAGAAATGTTTTAGCTATGGTTTAAATTTGCTAAGCTGAATACGCTAATAGGGAAAAATATATTCCAACAGCTAGTATAATTATATATTTACAATTACATTTTAAAATACAAAATTAATGTTTCATGACTTGTGAAAGAATAAATGAAAGAATGGGTTTTAGATAATAGAAAGTATAACGAGGGTTTCACGTTTTCTACAAAATAAATGTCGAAGTCTCTTTTATGTTTAGATCGTAATTTAAATATCATAAATCTGAATAAGTTTCCAACATTTTGTCTTTTCTTTTTAGTTCTTGATTTAAGCTGATGAGGAATCAAGGAAGACGGACGTGTCAATCAAAATGTCAAATTACATTTCGAACCTCGGGCAAAGTCTGGATCAATACCAGCAAGCACAAGCTTTTAATCGAATGGCTTAGGCTCCTGCAAAAGCTCAGGCCACAGCAGGCTAAAGCTTCTTATCAGCAATCACACCAAACTTGCAGCTTATAATCAGGCCCAGGCTTATAACCAGCAATCTCAGGCTCCATTACCAGCAAGCCCCAGCTTATTACCAGCAGGCTCCAGCTCAGGCTCCTTACCAGCAACCTTAGGCTTATCATCAGCAGACTCAAGCTCAAGCTCCCTATCAGCAGGTGGTGACGATGATTAGGATATTACTGGATGAGGAGAAACAAAAGTTCAAGGAACTTCTATTTCCAACTCGTCCAGAATATGTATCCATTTCTTGCCGGTAAGTTGGTTTCATCTTTTTCGGTTTTTCTTTAATCACAATTTTTTGGCAAGGTGGAAGTTCTACTTAACTTTTTTTCAGCTAATTATTCATGTAGCTTCTTTTCAGTATATTATTCACGTAGCTTCTTTTCAGTTTATTATTCATGTAGCTTTTCAGTTTATTATTCATGTAGCTTCTTTCCAGTATATTATTCACGTAGCTTCTTTTCAGTTTATTATTCATGTAGCTTCTTTTAAGTGTATTATTCATGTAGCTGATTTCAGTTTATTATTCATGTAGCTTCCTTTCAGTTTATTATTAATGTAGCATCTTTTAAGTTTAGTATCCATGTAGCTTCTTTTTAGTTTATTCTTCATGTAGCTTCTTTTTTAGTTTATTTTTCATGTAGCTTCCTCTCAGTTTATTATTCATTTCATGTAGCTTTTTTCAATATTATTATTCATGTAGCTTCTTTTCAGTTTATTATTCACGTAGCTTATTTTAAGTTTATTATTCATGTAGCTGATTTTCAGTTTATTATTCATGTAGCTTCCTTTCAGTTTATTATTCATGTAGCTTTTCAGTTTATTATTCAAGTAGCTTCTTTTTGGTTTATTATTCGTGTAGCTTCTTTTCAGTTTATTATTCATGTAGCTGATCTTCAGTTTATTATTCATGTAGCTTCCTTTCAGTTCATTATTCATGTAGCATCTTTTAAGTTTAGTATCCATGTAGCTTCTTTTAAGTTTATTGTTCACGTAGCTTCTTTTCATTTTTTTTCATGTAGCTTCTTTTTAGTTTATTCTTCATGTAGCTTCTTTTTTAGTTTATTTTTTATGTACCTTCCTCTCAGTTTATTATTCATGTAGCTTTTCAGTTTATTATTCATGTAGCTTCTTTTCATTTTATTATTCATGTAGCGTCTTTTCAGTTTATTATTCATGTAGCTTCTTTTAAGTCTATATTCATGTAGGTGATTTTCAGTTTATTATTCATGTAGCTTCCTTTCAGTTTATTATTCATGTAGCTTTTCAGTTTATTATTCATGTAGCTTCTTTTCGGTTTATTATTCATGTAGCTTTTCTTCAGTTTATTATTTAAGCAGCTTCTTTTCAGTTTATTATTCATGTAGCCTCTTTTAAGTTTATTATTCATGTAGCTTCTTTTCAGTTTATTATTCATGTAGCATCTTTTCGGTTTATTATTCATGTAGCTTCCTTTCAGTTTATTATTCATGTATCTTCTTTTCAGTTTATTATTCATGTAGCTTCTTTTAAGTTTATTATTCATGTAGCTTCTTTTAAGTTTATTATTTATGTAGCTTCTTTTCGGTTTATTATTCATGTAGCTTCTTTTTAGTTTATTATTAATGAAGCTTCTTTAAGTTTATCATTAATGTAGCTTCTTTTCAGTTTTTTATTCATGTATCATCTTTTAAGTTAAGTATCCATGTAGCTTCTTTTAAGTTTAGTATCCATGTAGCTTTTTTTCAGTTTATTATTCATGTAGCTTCTTTTCAGTTTATTATTCATGTAGCTTCTTTTCAGTTTATTATTCATGTAGCTTCTTTTCAGTTTAATATTGATTTCATGTAGCGTCTTTTCAGTTTATTATTCATGTAGCTTCTTCTAGAATTAAAAATTCTTTTCAGTTTATTATTAGGGAAGTGTGAAGGAAGGGGTTCAAAGGAACGAGGAACCTTGAACTCCCAAGCACAAAAAGTAAAAACACATTTTGGAAATGCTGGGACTAAAGGGATATTTTGTGATTTTTAAACATTTTTTTTTAATGCTGCAAATGTTTTAAAGATAAAAGACGAGCTTTATGTCACATTTTGCGTGGGACCCGTTATTTGTGAAATCGTGTTTTTGATCGAGACACACAATCTGTCGTGCCCGTAATATTGTAATATTGTAATATGTTGTAATATTGTAATACTTTGCTGGCAAATCTTTTATTTACTTTCCCAACATTTATAAACTTTTGCATATATTTTCCCTGTGATTGTTGAAAATAAAATGCAATTCAATTGTTCTACTTCATACAGAGATTTAGTCAAACAAAGAGATTATTTTAGTTGTTTTTATTTTTTAGATTTATTCCCAGATTGGTGGTTAAGTTTAGAGCTGGATACATGAATAGAAAGATTTAAACATTCATCTTGGTGGATCCCTTGTCACAGTTTTATTATATTTTTAATTAGTTAAAGGGAGAGTTCGTCGCGAAAAATTAAAGGGGCATTAGGCTTATGGCGAAAAGTTATCGATGGTGATCGCTACTAATCTTACTTCTAACTGTTGCGTCTATAAGGAGAAAATTGCTAAAAATAACTCTTACCGAAGAACGTAGCGTCCATACATATTCAGAAAGTTGCAACATTAGACTCGGATCGTAAAAAAGTCAATTTAATTCCGACAAACTATTCAGATTTTACGTCTTATAATCATCGATCATTTTTCGACGCATTCGTATATAGTTGCATTAAATTTATTACTTTCCAATTCTCTTAAAACATCATATAATATTTTTATATTATAACTTAAAGATGCATTTTTGTCAAGTGGATGTTTCGTGAATATATATACACTTATTATATAATATAATAAAATTAGTTTTCATAAAAATACACGTATTTTGAAGGTTTGCATCAAACTTTCAATTCTCTAAAAAATTGCATTTTTTAGTAAAGAAAAAAACCAAACAAATATGTTTTAAAAAGTAGAATAAAAACTTAATAACTTAAGAAAATACTTGGTATACAATTTACGAAAATATACGTATTTTAAGGTTTGTATCCAACATTTAAACTCTAAAAAAAAATATTTCTTAAGAAAAGAAAAAGTCGAAAAAAATGCTTAAACTAAAAACCTAAAAACAATTTTTTAATTAAAGAAAAAATAGAAAAATACGTAAAAATACGTAAAATAGAAACCAAAAACTTTGAAAAATTACTTGGTATGAAATTTTTACGAAAACATACTTATTTAAGGTTTGCATCAAACTTTTAAACTCTAAAAAATACAATTTTTTAAGCAAGGAAAGAACCAAAAAACGTAAAAATACGTTAAATAAAAAACAATAAAAACTTACTAAAAAAATTACTTGTTTTGAAATTTACAAAAATGTACGCATTTTTAGGTCTGTATCAAACTCGTAAAATCTAAAAAATACCATTTTTTAAGTAAAGAAATCCTGAAGAATGCGTAAAAAATATGCAAAATAAAAACTTAAAAAATTACAAATATATACGTATTTTTAGGTTTGTATTAAACTTGGTAAAAAGTATACGTAATTATTTGGTATGACATCTAGGAAAATATACGTATTCTTAGGTTTACTTAAAATTTTTAAGTAAAGAAAAAACAAAAATACTTAAAAATACGTAAAATAAAAACCTTAAAACTTGGATAAATTACATATGACAAAACTATTCGCATTTTTAAATTAAAAAAATTACAATTTTTTAAGAATAGAACAAAACCCAAAAAATATGTGAAATAAAAACCTAAAAATTAAAAAACTACGTACTTTTAGGTTTGAATTCCACTTTTAAACTCTAAAAAATTCAATTTTTTGAGTAAAGAAAGAACCAACAAATACGTAATCAGGGGTGACAAGCAGACTTTCTACACGCAGCATGGCTCGCGTAACACCTAAAATCTTCGTATGTAAATGTAATTTATGAAAATATACGTATTTTTAAGGTTTGAATCAAACTTTTAAACTCTAAAAAAATACAATTTTTTAAGTAAAGAAAAAACCGAAAAAATACGTAATAATATATAAATAAAAACCTAAAAAACTTGGTAAAAAGTATACGCAATTATTTGTAAAAATATGTTTCTGGTAAACATAAGCATTTTTTAAAAACCTGCTTGGTATGATAAATACGTAAAAATACGTAAATATACGCAAGTTATTTTCCAAAAAGTTAAGCATACAAATTTTTACGTAAATATACCTGTTAATACCTGTTATACCTATTTACAAGTATTTTTAGGTTTTCGGGTTAGTAGGGTTAAGCTGAATATTATTTTTTTTAAAATATCAAACTTATTATGAAATATCAACTATTTACACAATACATGCGTCGAGAAATTCTCGATGATTATAGATTGTAATATCTAAATGATTTGGAATTAAATTGATTTTTTACGATCGGAGTCTAATGTTGCAATTTTCTGAATTTCTATGAAGGCTAAGTTCTTCGGTATGAGTTGTTTTTAACAATTTTCTCCTTCTAGACGCAACCGATTATTGTAGTGAACATCAGCGATAATTTTTCGACATAAGCCTATCTATATACTCTTTCATTTTTTGCGAACACTCCCATTAAGTTAAAGTCGGTTAGATATATTCGCAGAAATTTAATTTCTCCTTATGTAAATATGGACAACACGTTCCATTCTTCTCCTAGTCTTCTTAGAACTAAAGTCTAATTCTGTACACCTTGTTTTATAGTCTACTATTCCATATCTACTTGGAACTATAGTTACTAGTCCATGACTACTTGGACCTATAGTCTACTCCTTGTGTACCTGGAATTGTAAGTCTACTCCTGGTTTCTTCCTCCTCCTCTTCGTGAGACTCGACCTCATATGTCTTGCAATCCTCCTCATTCCCCCAGTTGTTCTTGGAGGACTCCTACAGTAAACATAGGAATTGAGAGACGACTTGAATATCGTCTTTGATTTAAGATAATTGATAAATGAAATAAAGTGCATCAAAGAAATATTGAACGTCTAAATGAAATAAAGTACATCAAAGAAATATTGAACGTCTAAATGAAATAAAGTGCATCAAAGAAATATTGAACGTCTAAATGAAATAAAGTGCATTAAAGAAATATTGAACGTCTAGTGAGTTTTCCAAAATGTGATCAATCTTCTTTGTATCTTAAAATTTATGGAGATATTAAACATTTGAACTAATTTGGACAAATTTTCAAAAATCTCCGTCAATTTTGAAGGTAGACCACATTTTGAAATCCCGAGACTACTAGTTTTCGATATAGATATAGAAATACTAAAAGATTTACTTAATGAAACTGTGATAAAACCCGGGAATTAATAAAAGAATGGACGAAGAAACCCTTAGTTGGGATATTTATAAGGAAAACCAAGTTCCTAGGTTTCAAACATTTCATTTCAATCTAAGAAACTAGAATATCCATAGAAGAGTAAATAGTAAAGATACATGCAGTTCCAATACCTAAGAATCCCTATATCTTTGCAACCCAATGTCAAAGACCTTAGATATTTCAAACTATGAATTCTGTTAGATCAAGGAATCTGAATTTAAAATAAAAGATTTATACCGTTAAAACCCGGTTTCTGAATTAAATTATACCTATTTCTATCCTGTTTCCCCTAAGTTGTGTTGCCAACCGCCCAACACAAGAAAACAGGTCGAATGAAATTGCTTTGGGCCTAAGGAAATTGTGGGCCTAATTTTGGGCCAAATGAAAATTGTCGATCTTAATTGGTAAAGAAAACAGGCAGGCATTGTTTGGATAAAGTAAGAATGAAATGACTTCATGAGTTTTAGAATTTTTCACAGACCTCATATGTCAAGGTTTTAAAACATGGAGGTGTCTGAACCTTGAGTAGAACCTGGAACAAGTCATGGATTCTATACTATTCTATACTATTCTATACTATTCTATACTATTCTATACTATTCTATACTATTCTATACTATTCTATACTATTCTATACTATTCTATACTATTCTATACTATTCTATACTATTCTATACTATTCTATACTGTTCTATACTAATCAATATTTTAATTTTTTAGCTTTCAAGGTCACTTCGCGCCATCTTCTATTTCTATTGTAAACATTTTCTCTTTGTTTTATACACATAATACATTAACAAAAAAGTTTGAGGATTTTGTAAACAAATTTCGTGGGTTTTCTAAATTTTAATGGAAATTGAATGTGGTTGGAGGTTAATTTTCTATGCAGATATTTATGCTGGAATATATTTGAATCAAAAGTAGTAATAAATTATCTATTTTGGTAAAATATTTAAAATTCGGCCCAAAAATTTGCTTTTAGGCCAACATCTTTATTTGGGGGGGCTTCGCCCCCCAATTTCTGTTGATGTTGGGGGGGGGGGGGGCTTTTTTGTATTTGTGCCTTATTGTATCCTCTCTGGCCTAGATCCCTCTTTTGGAGTTGGCAACACTCGGCGAGGCGGGCAAAGAAGGCAGAGCCTTCCGACCAAGGTTATAATGCAAGGAAAGTTAATTGCAGTTGCGTATACTCTGCGTACCAGTTCTCTCTGGGCGGTATTTGTAAACAAGAATAGTGTTCGTTTAGTATCCAAGGAGGTTAAAATCATTACATTTTGTTAATTTTGATAATTCACATAATAGTTTCCTGTGACCAGAATATTTCATTTATTTTTTTTATGGGAAAGATGGATCCCATGTCAGGCTTCGACATCCATCTTGTGTTTACATCACCGCCCAGAGACACTATTCTGCAGTACAAAAGATGCGTAAACCTCTGAAATTACTATCTTTCCTTGCATCATAACCTTGCTTCCGACCATGTAAATTTGAATGTCGAGCTCTAATTGACAGGGCTTTGAGAAAAGATTTAGCTTATGGTGTTCTGGACTGCTGTATATACTGTCATTAATTTTTTTATTCAATTCCGCAATTTAAAAATATTATTGCAAGGACTCAATGATTTCCAGAAAATGTAGATATTTTTGCGTTATTGTACGCATTGTTTTATTTATTAAATAGACAACTATTTCCTTAAATAATTCCTCTCTTCTCTGTTTCAGTCTTTCATCAAAATTGCAACTGTTGATGGAATTCCTGTTTAGAGAGAGTGTCTTGCAGGAGGACACCTATCTGTATGGGAACACCTCCCCCCCTTAAATCTTTAACTATTTCAACACACTAAGACATTAAAAGCATTTGATTGGAAAAACACAAAAAATTATCTATGTCTCGAGTAAATATTAAAGAAAAACTACATTCGAGAAGAAATAAGTTATCTGCCTTTACCCGGCCTGTAAAATACATTCAAGGACTAAATGCGTATTTAATTTTTAACGTTTAAAAATTGATTTTTAATGTCTAACATTGTGTTTAAAGGCCGAAATCTTCGGGGGAACTGTTTCCATGCATGCAAGGGAGGTGTCTCCATGCACTGAATAGTTTTTTTACTGGGGAGAGTGAGAGTGGGGATTTTATGACACTTATTTTTTATCTTGTTTGTCGTTTTATCTGAAGCTTGTAAACTTAATATCTGTAACCGAAAGAACCTGATTAGTGATTAGTGTGATTGGTCCTATTCATGTCCTGGTTTTTTGTTACATAAATAAATGTCTTAATTCTTCACACAAAAATAAAAGGGAAAAACAGCGCAAAGTGACGCGAATTTATATTTTTTTTTAGTAATATCACACATTTTTTATAGTCAATCGGCGCTTTAACATGATATGTAATAAAATCCATATTTACTTTTCAGTTTTTCATCTGCTATCAAATCTCTTCAAATAAATCTTTTTGCAAACTGCTAATTAATTCAACTGAATGCATTGGTCAGAGCTTGAAACTTTTATATAAAACTAATTAATGTTTGACTCTGCTTCTCCGCTTTGAGATTAACAAATCTGTAATTGATCAAATCCGTTAAATTTTAATCAAAAGAAGACGGTTAAATACCCTGAGAAAAAGAATTTTTATGATTGAGAAAAATGAGGTACTAACTGAAATGCGCAAATTCTTTTGCGTTTCTTTTTTTCAAAGTCGTAATCAGGTTCTTTTTTAAAAATCGACAGCCCTTATTAGCATTTAAATGCATATACATATCTGAAATAAGATTACATACAGTGTTAACCATAAAGGATGAGACTTTACTGTTTATTTATTCATGATTCCCTGCAAGTACATAAACTTTTTTCTTTTTTGTCAAATCATTAAATAAGCAATTAAATGATTATATTCAAGACAGAAGGTTTTAATTTAAGAATTTAATTTTGGACTCGTCAAATTTTAGGTCTTCTTCACCCTCTAATCCTTTGTGGGTAACCCTGTACAGTTTACAAAGTATGTTGAAGAAACATTTAATCAGAAACGAGAACACGGCAGGGGAATAATTCTGTCAATTTCCTCGACGGTGCTGCGTAAATCCGCAGTTTAAATTTGTAAAAATACCAAGAATATCTCCACCACTTTTCTACAGACAAAGGTTCAAAAGTTTAATTGTGAATTGTTTAAAAGCTGGGTAAATACGTTCATCGTCCCTTTAACCTTTATTTTGACAAATAAAAATGCACGTTTAAGCTCTTTAAGCTATTTAAGCTGAGGTTTATGTCGAAACTATAAATCTTGATTTTGCAATTTCCGGGAAATATGAACTCAGCTCTCTTAGCTGATTCAGAGACGTCAGAGATAAATCTATCATCTTTATTTTCTTTCATTATTCAGTTAAGCATATACTAATCTTTTTAGGGAAAATTGAACAATTTTGAGAAAGTTTTTCAATTCCCCCCCCCCCCNATTTACCCCCCTCCTTGAAAAATGAAAGGGGGTTCAGTTTGAGTAAACAAATTATTAGTTGGTTTACATACAGGCGAGTTCGGAAGTTAATTTTCCTTTTAAAAATCGTAAACAACCCCATTAATGTATAAAATATTCAGCTTAGGGCTAAAACCTCATGTATTGGATATCCTTAATCTCTGTTGCTAAATCTCTGTATCCATTGTGGACACTTTTGATTTCCTTCTCTTAATCTTCTCTTTTGGATATCCCTTGCTGGCTTCCGATCTATAAGAGTTCTCTCATTGATCGCTAATAAGAGTTCTCTCATTGATCGCTAATAAGAGTTCTCTCATTGATCGCTAACAAGAGTTCTCTTATTGATCGCTAATAAGAGTTCTCTCATTGACCGCTAACAAGAGTTCTCTCATTGATCGCTAATAAGAGTTCTCTCATTGATCGCTAACAAGAGTTCTCTCATTGATCGCTATCAAGAGTTCTCTCATTGATCGCTAATAAGGGTTCTCTCATTGATCGCTAACAAGAGTTATCTCATTGATCGCTAATAAGAGTTCCCTCATTGATCGCTAATAAGAGTTCTCTCATTGATCGCTAACAAGAGTTATCTCATAGAGCGCTAATAAGAGTTCTCTCATTGATCGCTAATAAGAGTTCTCTCATTGATCGCTAACAAGAGTTCTCTCATTGATCGCTCGCAAAATTTCTAAATTTCTCGGCTTTTAATTCTACAATCGACATTCTGATTGGTTGCAATACAATCCGATATTAATATTAGATTAAACTAATCTAAAGATTGATGAAAAGAAGAGATCAAGCATTGATCTCGATATCCACAATCCTAAAGTTTTCAGCTCTGAAAAAATAAGCCCCCTCCCCCCCGTCTTAATATTTTAATATATTGAGTAAGAACTCCAATTTACACTTTACATCTTCTCAAAATATGCTTGCAAGACTATTTCAGGAGAAAATGTGGGTTATCAAAATATTCGTAAAGTGAAGGAGGAGGATATAGCTTTCCCTCGTGTTCACACTTATCTATTTAATTTAATCAATAAACTATCCTATCCGATAAGAAAGTTGCATGTTACATAATAGTTTATTTTAGGAAATAGTACAAATTTATTTTTTAGTTTTAAAACCCTGAACGGTGTTGCCCAGGTATATATCATAATTCATAGTCATAGTTACTCCCACCGTATACCCGCGTTCTGTATAAAATTATGATTTTTGATGAAGTTTCCGGCGTTGCCCGTGGAATTTTGAAAATAATCTTTTTTACCCAATGTGACCCCTAGGGTACCCACGAGTTCCTCAAATAATTTCTGCTAATTTGGCCAGGAAGTATACACTGAGAAATTTCAAATTTTCATTTAACAAAATTTGTTGGAGTAACGGCTTCAAATTCGTCAAATTTTGTTGGATACATTTACATATCAAGGTTTGTTTTATGATCTAACAACCTGCAGTGTGATTTGCAGAATATTTAGAGTGTATAATAGCTTTGTAAGATATCTATTATATAGAAGATAATGAATTCAGATAATTATCAGAGTTTGAAACTAATGAGAAAAAAATAGTCTCCAGTTTTTGTTTTTAAAAGTTTTAAAAATCCGGCATTAAAATTTCATATTCTCTTTTCTGAAACTTGAAAATATATCTGGGTTTCTAACATAATGGTAGGAAGGGATATATTGTTGAATATAAAATATTTAATATTTATTTTTCGTAGAAGTATTGAAAATGGTATTTTCTCCAAGACCTGCCTACGCTCCAATAAAGATTAAAATGGCAGTCTGAAAATAAAATTTTCTGCTGAGAGATTTCACTTATATTCTTTCATTTCATTTCTTTTAAAAGAAAGGAATTGAGTCTTAGTCACAAAATATGATTTTCTAATCTCTACATCTTTGCAACCCATCAGACTGCAAAGATAAAGGGATTAGAAAATTTCTCAACTCAATTTCTTTGTTTTTATTATTTTACCTTCTCTACCTTTTCATTCGGAGCTGAACTGGGAGTTGTTTCTCTTCTAGCTGGAGTTCTAGCCGCAGAGCTGGAGTAGCTGGAGTTACTGGAGTAGCTGGACTTAGGACTTCGTCGTCGGGAGAGAATTTGTTCAGTTCTTAGATGTGCCTCAGCCTTTTTAATAACATTTATTTTTAAAATCTAAATAAAGAAGATGTGACTCTTTTATCTGCATCTAGTAAAAAACCATGTTGCAATTAAAAACATAAGAACGCTGCAATTATGACCAGAAAATAGTGAAATTTTGGTCGTCAGCTTTTTTCTTTTATCTATGAAATTAAGAAATGTATTTTGTAATTATTAGTTTCACTATTTCTAAAAAAAAGTGTCAGATTAAATAAATAGCGAGACATAGTTGAACCATAGATAAAGATAGATTGCGCATAAGACGACATTTTTCATCTTGAAAGATATAAATGTACAGAGATGTTTTAAAGATATTCCTATTATATAGATTACCTAGGTCGGTTGTGAACATTGGCTGTTCTTATGTCATTGAGTACTTGTGGTGTACATGAGTTCTGTAGAGAGAAATTTAAGTTAGTTTAGTCCTTCTCATGTCCTTCTTCAGTTCTCGTCATTATGATATATTGCTCAGTAAAATATTGTCGTTCAAATAGTTCCATTCCCGGAGTTATTTTACACTCTATTATAAAATCCATTAAAACACCAAACCACCCCGCTTATCATTGAAGTACACTTTGACCCCTAGAAGTATGAGTTCGAGGACTGTACAATTCTTGGTGATTTTGCGTACATAAGCTATCTACGTTTATTTATTTATCTATGAGTTGAACCGCGTAGACCGAAGTTGAACCACTTCATGTTAGCTTGAATTGTCGGTCTGGGACACAAATAATCGGTTCAACCACGTTATTGCTGTTTCATTTTCTAAAAAGTTCTGGGTGTGGTGACCCCAAATGAATTTATGGTATTGAAATAGATGTTAAAAATGTTAAAGGTACTGTAAAGGAAACATGAAAGGGGGCTGAAAGCTAATTACTTTAGTTCTTGATCGCGACCCATGATGTTCCTGTCTCGAGAAATTGATAATAAAACTGTGTCAAATCTATACCAAAATTCATTTACAATTTTGTACAGAATTAGTAGGTTTAAACAGCTCATATTCAGCAAATACAACAATTTCCCGAAAAAGTACAATTTGATTGTCTTTTGAGTTTTGAGCTGCAAATGTGCGATTCTTTTCACGACAACTTGACAGAGCGGGTGGTAAATTTGACTTAATTGTCCCAAGGGACAATAAGTAACTTAACGACTTTCTCTTCAGGGAATCATGGGTCGGTAATATTGGCCAAAAGGCGGTAAAATCAATATCAACAGAGCTTTAATTTTTAAAATTAGTTCCGGTCCTTTAAAAATTGACAGCTCAATTATTTTTTGTTTTGTTTTTGTAATTTTGTAATTTTTGTAATTTTGTAATTTTCCCTTAAAAATACTTTTCTAAAAAATGGATCGTAGATTTCTAAACCAACTTTAATTTACGCCGACCCTTCTTACGTAATTATTGTCGTCTTAGTTACAAAATAAAAATTACTTTTAACGTTTCAAACGAACATTATAAATGTTTATATCGTTTAAAAGTTAAAAATAAATAGTAAACTAGCTGAAGTGTCCGGCATTATCCGTGAAATTATAGAACACTTTGAAAACCCAATGGGTTCCCTAAAAAAATTCAGCCAATTTGATTCCGCTAAATATAGGCGAAGAGCTTTATTAAGTTGCATCAAAATGTTCAACCAGGCGTGAATACTCTTCAGTCAATTTTTTAAATTCAAACATCTGAACCGTCCCTTCCAATTTTTATGACAATCCGTTAACATTCTTAAAGTCTGTTTCCAAAGTTTCTATCACTAAACTAGGAAATAGGACCTGGAAGTTTCCACCACAAAACTAGGAAATAGGACCTGGAAGTTTCCACATAAAAATAGGAAATAGGACATGGAAGTTTCCACCATTAAACTAGGAAATAGGACCTGAAAGTTTCTACCACAAAACTAGGAAATAGGACCTGGAAGTTTCCACCACAAAACTAGGAAATAGGACATGGAAGTTTCCGCATTAAAATAGGAAATAGGACATGGAAGTTTCCACCATTAAACTAGGAAATAGGACCTGGAAGTTTCTACCACAAAACTAGGAAACAGGACCTGGAAGTTTCCACATTAAAATAGGAAATAGGACCTTAAAGTTTCCACCACAAAGCTAGAAAAAGAACCTGGAAGGTTCCCCCCTCTAAATCAGGAAATAGGACCTGGAAGTTAATTTCAAGGAACGGATTATCCTGGGAACAGATTGACAGATTAAGACTTGTTTGTAAATTTCTTTCGTGTCCTTGCAACACCTTCATATTTATTTTAATTAAATTCTCATTTATTTTATACAGGGTGTACCAATAATAAATGTGGGGATTCAGTGACGACATTAAAATCAACCTTGTTCATGAACATCAAAGAATTCACTTAAAAGAACACATCAGGGAGATCACACTGTCTCATACTATTCTGAGATTGTCTCATACTATTCTGAGATTGTCTCATACTATTCTGAGATTGTCTCATACTATTCTGAGATTGTCTAATAATACTATATATATTCTGAGATTGTCTCATACTATTCTGAGATTGTCTAATACTATTCTGAGATTGTCTAATACTATTCTGAGATTGTCTAATACTATATATATTCGGAGATTGTCTAATACTATCCGGAGATTGTCTGATTCTATTTAGAGATTGTCTAATACTATCCGGAGATTATCTAATTCTATCTGGAGATTGTCTACCTGTTTCTCTGCAGCAAGCTGAAGTTTATCAGCTATCTCATGATTTCCTCGTTCTCTCAGAGTCTTGATCATACTCCAGATACCTCCTGCAGCTGGGAGTATCTCAACCCACTTCGGCACACATTCTACTCAACAAAGTTAAATAAGAAATGATAATTTTAATAAATTTTTGATATCATTATTATTGATTGATATCAACGATCGTTATTTTGATGCTTTTGAAACATTTAGCGGGGAACCATGCACAATACCTTAGAAACCTTTTATTTGAGAAAAGATGCCGTTCAAACCTTTATCTGAGGAACGATGCCTTAGAAACCTTTTATTTAATACCTTAACACCTTTATCTGAGAAACGATGCCTTAGAAACCTTTTATTTAATACCTTAACACCTTTATCAAAGAAAGGATACCTTTGAAATCTTTTATTTCAGAAAAGATGCCTTGAAAACCTTAATCTGAGTAAAGATACCTTTGAAACCTTCATTCCAGAAATGATTCTTTTGAAACCTTTTTTTCTGTGATTGAAATGTGGAAAAATGAATTTTTACAATCTATGAATTGAACCCTGTACCTGCACTAGGGCTAGCAGCTGGTTTCTGGTATCTAGTCGGGAGGAACTGCATTGTAGAGAAGGGACTAGTTCTACTTCTCCAGGTCATAGTGGAGGAGCTGGAGGAGTTGGAGGAGCTGGAGGAGTTGGAGGAGCTGGAGGAGCTGGAGGAGTTGGATGAGCTGAATGAGTTGGATGAGTTGGATGAGTTGGATGAGTTGGATTTGGAGAAGTTGGAGGAGTTGAAGAAGTTGGAGGAGTTGGATGAGTTGGAGGAGGTGGAGGAGTTGGAAGAGTTGGATGAGTTGGAGGAGGTGGAGGTGTTGGAGGAGATGGAGGAGTTGGGGGAGTTGGAGGAAGTGGAGAAGTTGGAGAAGTGGTACTAAGGTCTCCTCCTGTCCCTAGAGAATGATATGAAATCAATCTGTTCCATTTAACTCAAACACATTTTATCTGCAGGACGAATGTTTTCTATCTGAAAGTGCTGATCAACTACATCTGTCAAAGTAAGGAAGTGGGGGGACAAGGGGGGGGGGGTAGTATAAGGGGTATGCATGAACGGAAAATCTGGAGTTTATCTTTTTTCAGCATCTGACATTCCTCGTCAAATGTTTAGCCGAGAAAAGTTATTAATTACTTACATATCAGTAGCTGAGTCTACACAGCGCAAATTACGCCGTAATGTTGTGATAGTTCTAATATATATATATTATGTATATAATGTAAATATATAATTTCTATATGTACAGGGTGTCCCAATAAACAAGAGAATTCAGTGACGAATTCGATATCGTCTTTGTTTTGAATTAACATTGTAATACCTAATTTCTAAAACCATAATTTATTATGTCCGCTAGAGTTTATTTTATGAAAAGGGTAAAAGACTGTAAAGATGTGTCTATAATGTCTCCGCAAGATTAACAGTGAAGACGGACAAGTTTACTCTGTTTGTATACTGTAACTTTCTTGTTTTACTAAGTACAACCGTATGCAGTCAAAACATAAACATGCAAATTGTAAACATAGCAGACAAAAATCTTACGTATAAGGCTTTCTCAGTAGGTATTACTATACTAAATCAAAGAATTATCTAAAAAGACGATATCAAATTCGTCACTGAATTCCCATGTATATTGGGGCACAAACACACACATGTCTCATACCAGTCCTCTAATGAAATACAAATTATAGTATGCAATCTAAACATTAAGATACAAATAATAAACTCTATCTAGCAGACGAAACATTCTATGGATTATAGCTTTTATAGGATTAATACAATCTCGAACGTTTTATTGAGAAATTCTGTAGGGGATGTCTGATGAGTAAATGGCATTAATAGGTTAATATCTGTCTACAGCAAGACAGGAAATAGGATGTCAAGTTGATGTTGATATTTAGATTAATTTTTTATTCTACTATTCTCTTTTAATTCTACTATTCTCTTTTAATTCTACTATTCTCTTTTAATTCTACTATTCTCTTTTTATTCTACTTTTCTCTTTTTATTCTACTATTCTCTTTTTATTCTACTATTCTCTTTTAATTCTACTATTCTCTTTTTATTCTACTATTCTCTGGATTGGAGGGTAAAGTGTATAATAGCGGATTGGAGGAATTGGATGATTAGACAGCTTAGCTATACTAGTACAGTAGGGTTTCTAGGGTATAAAAGTATAAACTCAAATTATTATCCCCCCCCCCCTTCTAAAGAGATGATGCATGCAGTAAGACACGGGCTTCATACACAGGAATTGAGTTTATGCCACAAACTCTGATTTTCCAATTCCTATATGTTTGTAACCCAATGTAATAGACCTTCATTTATCAAAAATTCTGTTAGAGCCTTAACTTTAGAACCCAATTTCAACCGTTAAATAAAAATTTTGTGTTTGCTATTTTTAACCTTTTTTTTTAACATTATAGCTTTTTACGCAATATTTAACAGATTTTGAATATTATAGCTTTTTACGCTATATTTAACATATTTTGAATATCATAGCTTTTTACGCTATATTTAACAGATTTTGAATGTGAAATGAAGATATTCAGGATCCGATACATTCAGGATATATACAGGATATATACAGAATATATACAGGATATATACAGGATATATACAAGATATATACAGGATATATACACTACATGATATATACATGATATATACAGGATATATACAGGATTGGATATATACAGGATATATACAGGATATATACAAGATATATACAGGATATATACAGGATTGGATATATACAGGATATATACAGGATATATACAGGATTGGATATATACAGGATATATACAGGATATATACAGGATATATACAGGATATATACAGGATATATATGTAAGAAATCTAGACCCAAGATAATTCAACGATAACTCAACTCAAAGTCTAATTAGAATCTAACTGACTCTACCTCTAGCCAAAACTCTAGGCTCTCAATCTCTAGCCAAAACTCAAGGCTCTGTATACGTCCATGTTAATCAACAATTCGTATTGAACTAATTTATTTTATATACAGGTGAACTAAACTGACCGGGCTAGCCGGACAGGGTCAACATACAGATAGTTAGGATATATTACTAGCATGGATAACATAGATAGCATTAAGCATTAATACAGAATATATTACATATACAGGATATATACAGGATATATACAAGATATATACAGGATATATACAGGATTGTTAACACAAATTCGAAATATAAGGAAGACGATTTTTCCGACTCAAATGCCGTAGCCTTTTCTCAAGATGTGTGTATAAACACGATCCATTTCCGCCATGAAGCACACACATGTTACCCTCGCTCCTTCTTTCCCCGCCTCACCCTCTAAACACCCCAGCCCTCAGTCAGGTTAGGAGAGTTGGGCTGGTAACAGCTCCGACACAGGGAGCCTCTTGACTCCTTCATGCTGATGATGCAGATACTTATACAGGATATATACAGGATATATACAAGATATATACAGGGTATATGCAGGATATATACAGGATATATACAGGATATTGGATAAATACAGGATATATACAGGATATATACAAGATATATACAGGATATATACAGGATATAACAGGATATATACAGGATATATACAGGGTATATACAAGATATATACAGGATATATACAGAATATATACAGGATATATGCAGGATATATACAGGATATATACAGTAATACAGGATATATACAGGATATAACAGGATATATACAAGATATATACAGGATATATACAAGATATATACAGGATATATACAGAATATATACAGGATATATGCAGGATATACAGGATATATACAGGATATATACAGGATATATGCAGGATATATACAGGATATATACAGGATATATACAGAATATATACAGGATATATTCCGGATGTGGATGAACTACATTGTAGTTAGTTTGATGCTGGGGAGGTGAATACCAATATTACAATGTTAAAATGCATTAAATAAAAAAATTGTCAATTTCGAATTTAACGTTTGCTCTTCACTAATTCCAGTTGAATGGGCTAGCATAACAGTTGTGCAATAGCTGAAAACTCCCTTTATTTTACAGATGGTGAATAGCTGAAAACTCCCTTTATTTTAAAGATGGTGAATAGCTGAACACTCCCTTTATTTTACAGATGTTGAATAGCTGAACACTCCCTTTATTTTACAGATGTTAAATAGCTGAACACTCCCTTTATTTTACAGATGGTGAATAGCTGAACACTCCCTTTATTTTATAGATGGTGAATAACTGAACACTCCCTTTATTTTACGGATGGTGAATAACTGAACACTCCCTGTATTTTGAAAAAAATTGTTCACTATTAAATGTTTTAATTGTAGAAAGTCCAGATATCAACTACTTGAAGTTTTCTTCTGTAAATTTACCCCTAAAGCACTGGTGCAAAGAAACAGGGGAACTTTTCATTTTATTATAATCTGATACAAGGATAATATTCAAAAGATAATTTTCGAAATTTTTTGAATTTTTTTTTGGATTTAGAATTGTAGTCTAACCCTGTATGAAAAATGGCGTCTATATATGAAAATATATTTGGCTGAGATCATCATTTTTATTAATTATCTTAGATTGATCTTCTCATTACACGAAGTTGAGACTCTCTCTCTATATATGTATGCATATTCTCCTAATCTCCTAGTTCTCCTAATCTCCAGGTTCTCCTAATCTCCAGGTTCTCCTAATCTCCAGGTTCTCCTAATCTAAAGGTTCTCTGAATCTTCAGGTTCTCTTAAAATGCAATTTATAAAGTTACAACCAAGATGAACCATAGTTAATTTAGGATTTATTTTTATTCCAGGTAAAACATTTCTTTTATTGTGGTTTAAGAGATTTATATAAAATGTTAGAGTAAACTGAGATACTTTTCCCTTTCCCGACTTCATCATATATTTTTCCCATCCCAACTTCATCATTTACTATTCCCTTCCCAACTTCATCATATACTTTTCTCATCCCAACTTCATCATATTTTTTCCCATCCCGACTTCATCATATACTTTTCCCATCCCAACTTCATCATTTACTATTCTCTTCCCAACTTCATCATTTACTATTCTCTTCCCAACTTCATCATTTACTATTCCCAACCCAACTTTATTATATATTTTTCCCATCCCAACTTCATCATATTTTTTTTCCCATCCCGACTTCATCATATACTTTTCCCATCCCAACTTCATCATATTTTTTCCAATACCGACTTCATCATATACTTTTCCCATCCCGACTTCATCATATACTTTTCCCATCCCAACTTCATCATATACTTTTCCCATCCCGACTTCATCATATACTTTTCCCTTCCCAACTTCATCATATACTTTTCCCATCCCAACTTCATCATATTTTTTTCCCATCCCGACTTCTTCATATATATTTCCCATCCGAACGTCATCATTTATTTTTCACTTTACGATTCCCTTCCCAAATTCATCATATACTTTTCCCATCCCAACTTCATCATATTTTTTCCCATCCCGACTTCTTCATATATATTTCCCATCCGAACGTCATCATTTATTTTTCACTTTACGAATTCATCATATACTTCTACCTTCCCAACTTCATCATTTACTATTCCCTTCCCAACTTCATCATATATCATTCCCATCTTCATCATTA